TAGCTTTTCACTTCCATTACACACATTATCAATAAATTCAAAAATTGGACATCACATTTTCCTTGGCTATGGTTGGTTAGCTATTGTGCTGTAGTCTGGATACTGCTGTCTCTTCAAAATCCTTCATTAATCATACAGGGCATTTACGGCACAGAAGTAAGTGGGTGGGGCTGTCATTAAGGGCCAGGGGCTGGGGATTTGCCCCAGCTACAATGACCATAACGCCCAGATACTTTCATAGGTAGTGTCGAGTTCCCAGTGTAGTAGACGCGTAGCGTAAGGCACTGGAGTTCGCCAGGTCAACCACAGTGAAGCACTAGGCGGTCAGCAAGATTCAGTGGCGTTTATTATAATTAGGCTAGTCCGTCTATTTACAGCACTTGCGGTGAAAACTAGAAAGAAACGTGCGTTTTTTACGTCAGAAGAAACGAAAACTACGATAATGCTCCATGCACGAAAAAAGAAGGAAAAACAAACTACTAAATTTACAAGCGTGACTTATGTCTGATCTTGACTCCGGGGGTTAAAAGAACTCCAAATCTCCTACAGTTGTAATAACTCCTAAAGTTCTCCAATGGCTCCTTACACTGTGGTGGACTTCTTACAACTGAATAAACGTGCTTAGGAAAAGAATAATCTAATGCATGCCTTCTGAGGTAAAGGAAATAAAACTGAATAAAGCTTTGTACGCCTAGCCAAAAAACAGATATACGATGATCATGCAATAAAATAAACAATGCTACAATCACGAAAGAAAAAACAGTCCTTGAATGTAACTAATAAAAAATGTCATTTTTCGCGGATAACGTGACAGGTAGACACGAAAGAACTTCCTAGCTGTTCAATTCCCCACCCTCTAATTGCCTGTACCTAGCATTATGAAATCTTAGTGACAGTCTTGTAGTAGGAGCGGAGCTCCACGCGCGGAGCCCCATAGCTAAGGAAATGTGGTAATCTACCCATCCGAGAAAATTTGGTTATCACGTGACCGTACACCGAACGACCGTCCGTCCGCACCACAGGCATACCAATGTAAAATAGCTCAATCAACAGGTATGGCAACCCAAATGCAACTCAAGGTTTTATTTGGAAGGAAATCACATGGCCGCCCGGACTCTTAGAAAGAAAAAACAACAAAAAAGTCGTGTCTTTTTCGGCGTTATTTTTATGTTTACAGTAACGTGGATAACAGAGACTGAGAGCTAGAGCAAGTTATTGAAAACAAAGGAGACGAATTTCGTAGGAAGAAAAACATGGAAATTCAAAGCGGCAGTGAGAAAATGAGAAATGCTAGCGGCCAGCAAGGTGGAAATGAGTGGCAGTGAAAAATAAAAGTGAACATGAACACAGGAAACGAAATATAGGGTAAGCACATACGACAATTTCTCCATAAAAATAATGTGTAACTAGGACGTTTGACGTTTTGGTCGTACAAAACATCGTTGCAGTCGTGCAAAACAACTGCAAGGGAAAGACAAAAAAGCGTGCTGCACGTGCAAATTTGTTTTTTGCCAATTAGAGGAAAACATGTGCTGCACGTGCAATTTGTTTTTTTGGCTAAGTCTATTAGTCTCGAAGCCATTTTCATTGTCGTCCCGTTTAGAATTAGACGATTAAATGTTTTTTGTTTACACGTATTATTAACCAGAGCTTCGCTTTTAGCCCTGGCTAAATCTATATATTATTATAAACAATACAAATCAACAAGAGGGCCAACTGGCCATCTACAAGCATGGCTAAGAAGTGGAGCACGAGACTACTATGAAACATGGGACATACACTTCCAAGGGAACCGTGAATCATGGGACATACAAAAAACATTTATTGCAAGTCCAGTGAGTGCCCTTTAAGCCTCTCTAGCTTGCATGCCTACAAACTGCTACTGAGATATTTTGAATTTAACGAAGAGCCCAGATTTGTTCCCTTTTATTTTAATGTGTTACTGGATAGATGTTAGCACTATATATAAGTTTCCAGTTATAAATGTTATTATTATCATCATTTTAATCATCATCATCATCATCATCATTATTATTATTATTAAATGGCATGCATGATTCAACAATTAGCCTGCAAAGCTCTCCATTTGTTCACAACTTTCAAACTTTGACTCTCGCAGTTTCCAAATAGAGAGCTGGCTCACAGATTAATTCAAAATTTTTTACTAAAGTCCAACTTAATGAAGCTGCTGTGAATTCCTATGCAGTCAAACTTCCTTGCTCTTCTTGTTCCCAGAGCCAGCTGTGGTAGTAATTAAGCTTGTGATCATCAGGTTTTACATTTTTCCAATCCCCAAGACAAAAAATCCTATAGGAATCATCCCCATACTTTCCAATGCCATGCAATTCTTTAGGATAATGCCACTCCTTGGTTAGAAACTCCTCTGAAAATCTGATGATAATTTTGGCCCTTTTTTCTTGGAGTCCCAGGGACTGAATGAGTTCTAAGAAAGAAACAGAACAAAACATCAGTGGTAGTCTCCTAATCAAAATGTAGTATCAAAGGACCGTAACACATGGTCTTTACCAAGACGTTTTGAGCACGCGTAACTGCTATAAGGGAAGGTACGTTTTTTATTAGGAGGGAGGGTCCTTAGTAAATTTTTTACAAATTGGGGAGGGTCAAACCTGTTTTATTCTCAACTGAGGGAGGGTCACAGTTTTTTTGGCAAGGGAAATATTACTCCATGTCTCTTCTATTTTGTATATACAAGCAAAGCTACCAGTCAAGATTAATCTAAATTATTTACAGGTGTCAAAGAATTTATTTATCAAAAAACTATCTTCTCCCAACTAACATAATTGTCTCTCTCGACCTGTGTCCGCTTTCGCCCATATTTTGATGTTTCCTCGCGGGATTCTGTGATTTATTGCTTTCAAAGCCTCACGAATTTCCCACTGGCGCTTTCTTTCAGTCACGAAACAGTGGCAAAAGTGTTCCTTGTAGGGACAAGTGGTCCTAAAGGACAGGTAGAATTTTGGCAGAATACTATTTGAGAATTCAGTATATTCGCCCTTTGGGTTCGGAAGCCACCCTAGGTCTTCATCTTTCCACTTCTCTGGACTTGCGCTTTCACTTGTTCCCGCAGCCGATGTGGCACCAACAGAGTCAGAGGAGTAGCGAGCACCCTTTTTAGAATGGCAAGTCGACAAACAGCCACAATAGCCACAAGTTGCTCCATCTGACCTCTAGTCTCCCCGGCAGCCATTTTTTGGATGTCACACAACGCTCCCCAAAAAGAGTGGGGGAGCATTGCGTGACATCCAAAAAACTTTGGGAGAAAGTTGGATACATTCCCAATTACAGCACAGAAAAGCCCATAACTCGATTTTATGCAGGAGACTTGGTGACCCGTAGGGAGACTGGGAGATAATTGTTGTATCCAGGAGAGTTGGCATGTATGAGTGGATAGCGCACCCACCTGGTGTTAGGGAGGTCACAGGTTCGAATCCTGTCGGGGAATCAGATTTTTTCTGTCCCACGCTTATGACATGCTGATCATTTCATTTTCATAATACTGACTCCTTTAAGTGATGGTTCCATTTTCACAGTTTAAAAACCTGATGACCCTGCAGTGGAGGTGGGTAGGGGTGCTTCTTTTCTGGTTGCACATTAAGAAGGCCCATACATACCAGCAATTTCTTTCCAGTCAGCTTTCCTTGTTACTTCAGGATTTGGAAATTTCCTGAAAAATTCCCACATGACTGGGATAGCCTTTCTGCCTGTTGTTCGATTAAGGAATATTGTAGCAATCAGTAACTTCCAAGGATCATGAAAGAGGCTTTCTTGAATCAAATTAAAAGGAGATTTAGGAGGGATCCAGGTTAATGATGAGTATGATATCGACTCTTGTTTAGATGTTGTCCTAAAATAATCACTTGTAGAAACTAAAGTACAATCATTTCCATCTGAATCGAGGTTAACAGACTTTGAGCTCACGACAACAGCAAGCTCGTGTCTTCTTTTTAATGCTTCAGACTTCCTATTGGTGGGGTGTACTGGATCTTTAGAAATGTGCTTATCTTGTACCCTATTTCGCGCCATTTTACACGAAAGTGCTACACTTGTTTTTGATGGCCTTGATCTTTTATTATCTTGTTTGGGAACTTCTTTTAACGTTCTAGAAGAGCGGGTGTCTTTTCGCCGTCGTTTGGTGAAAGAGGATATTTCTCGCTGTGGATTTAAACCTTTCTTTCTCCGGGAAAAATAGGGAGACTTCGTCTCAAGCTTCGATTTTAATTCAGTGAATTCAGCGTGTTTAGTGTCCTGTGTGGCTCTTTCTGCATTACAACATCCATCTGATCCTTCCACAGCACTTTGATGTGGTTTCTCCGGGTAGAGTAACGAATTTGGGATCTTGAAATCAACATTTTCCATCGATAAATCATTCTGTATAGTTGAAATGTATCTCTCAAGTTCGACGCGAGAGCGAAATTTTCGACCCTCTGGACTGATAACGTAAACATCATACTTTCCTTTTGTTTTACCACTCTTCCGTTGAATAAATATTTTTTTCCATCCCGGAAGCCCGCACTCTCCAAATTTTTCTTGATCGGTTGCTCCAGACATATGAAAATTCTGTCCCCTACAACAAAACCATTACACCAAAACATCCACTTTCCTTTGGACTCGGTGGTCCTGGGTATGAGTCTCATACCCAGACCTCCTTTTCCAGTTCAACGCAATTAAAAATGGCGGTAAAGTGACCTCAACATATATCTTGTTTATTTTCAGGAAAAATTAGTTTTCTTTTCCTCGAAGTAGGAAAAATGAGTGAATTCAGAATACACCATCATGTCTCAGAGCTTTTGAGCTTATTAGGGTAAGTAGAACGGGGTTAATATCCCATCAAATATTTCAAATATACCTAAAGTCCTAAGCTTAAAACTGACCGTCATCGCAGAGCAATGATAAACAACTGCTTTCTGCTTTCTACATGCATACCCATTTATTTTAACCTCTACGTACCTTACATCAAAGGTAGGTCGCAGGTTTTTTTGTGATTTTTACTCGGTATATGCAGTTCCTGTTTTATTTAACATAGTTTCAGTTTCTTGATTTATTACCAGGAAAAGGCAGTGTCAATATTAGTTCATAATTTTGGAAGCAAACATTTAACCTTGAAGAATTGCCTTTCAAGTTGAAGTTTTTGTAAAATCGTCTTAATTTTCTAAACTCAAAGTACACAATTATTCCCCCGAAGGAGGTGAACAATTTGTGCTGTGAACCCCCTGGCAAGCAGCACACTACATGTAATCTTTGGGTTTCCTGTGGTTCCTTGGGTGTTCTGTTGCTGTTAAGGCATTACAATCTCTTTTTTATTTGTTAGGATAATTTTTAGCTGAACAACCATTGGTATAACTTATTTGCAAATTGGCCCAAGGCCCAGTTCTTGCACCGAACTTAATATGTATTTGTGACCCTCCACAGGAATTTGATGCTAAAGGTGAAAGCACGCTCACGACACGCTTGCATGACAAGCGTAGTGTGCCGTAGATCACGGATATGCGCATATTAAATTGAAAAAACAAAGACGGACACACTTGCCTTTGTTTTGGTAAATTTAACATGCTAGACCTTTTGTTTTTTTGTAGTGTGCCATATGTCACGGTAAGTGTTCGAATTATAGCACGCTTAGCATGCAATTTGGGTAAGACACGCTGAACACGCTTGATTACTAAAACTGCTAAGATGATAAAAATGGCTTGGGTTTTCAGCGGATTTAATCAGCATTGATAACTGGTGGAAGTGAATCAAATATACCAATTGAGACTGTTTTGGAATTTGATTGTAACCGTAGCCATTTGAAAATCACCACTTAATGGTCGTCTAGCCTGGAATTAACGCAACATCAGTGTAAATCAATTCCTCCGGCTGTCAGCTGTTGACCGGAATCTCAAAAAGGCCTGCTATTGCATGCAAGGCACTGAAGTTATGTCGCCTGAAAATTATAGTTATGCCACCGGAATATTTATTAGCAGATATATTATTTTCAGAGGGAGAATTGGCCAACAGCAACACGGCAGGAACTTTTGGCTTCGAAAAGCTTAATGAAGAAAAGATGCGATTTCTGTCATCAATCTTGCACCATAAGTTTGATTCGCCCTCATTTATGGAATAATGGGATAATGTTCATACAAAAATAAACACTAAGTGTAGAGGGAAAAGAAGAACAGTCGTAAAAAGGCTTCAAAGGCAAATTTAAGGTTAATTAAGAATTTTCTGAGATAAGGTCATTTATTTTTTTCCGTGAAGTTAAGATTTGTAATACTTAGTGTACCTATCTTTCTCTTTCATGGCATTTGTTTTTTTCTCATGATGCAATGTAATAGGAAAGCGACATGGTAATTTTTCACTCTAAGGTTAGCATTTTGTAGACTATTTCTTTAGAAATTAGTTTCTGTGTAAAAATTTGGTTGTAAATATAAAAGCGACTGTTTTTTTTATGTCTTATCTTAAATTCTGCTTTGTTTTAATTTCGTCCTCAAGGCACTACCAAGTTTCAGGAGGTGACAAATCCACTCGTGCATCAACGTAAAATAGGCATTTAAAAGAGGCAGTAAACTAGCGCGACATAATAAAAAATTATTTTCATGCCGAGAAAGTGACTTAAGTCCGAAAGATCACTGTTTCTGAGAAAATTGCAAATGTGTTTTAAATTAAGGAAAGTTAAGATAACCTTTGCACAGCTTCGTCAGTAAACATATTCCGGAAAGAACTTTGATTTTGCAATGCTAATAAAGTTCTACCCATAAATCCAGTAGGTCCCATCGTTCACTGTTTATACTTTTCAAGCGACAACGTTTTTTCAATCAGATACTATCGCTGCGATCGCTGAGGTAGAACTCTTTCTTCCTCGATAGTGACCAAAAAGGGGTGCTGTTCATAATCATTTACGGTTCTTTTGTAGACGAAATTTTTTTAGCTTATAGATAACACGCCTTGCGTGCTTTTGCGCACACTGAAAGCGTGTTGTGTTTTTTTCGCACAGAGCTTTTGTTCGAAAACTTTAATACGCTCTTTTGTTCAACTTGCTCACGCTTAATTGTCTCAAGCATGTCCACTGAAACAAAAGAAATTGCTAATGATGCAAGATTGCAAGCGTGCTAAAGCATGTTAAAATAAATTCTTTTGTTTTAAAGTGAAAGCGTGTGGTGCGCGTGCTTTCACCTTTAGCATTAAAATCCTGTGGAGGGTCACATTTAGGTTGACCCAAATAAGACAAGTTTGACATGGGTACCGTTGATTCGGACATCAAACTTATAGTCAGACTCAATTCATTTTCATGATGTACAATGGTCTACATTGCTTACTAGTGAAAATTAGTTATAGTGATTTATGCACTAGATTCGGCACTTGAAAAGTTCAACATTTGAAACAGTCTCTCCAAAGTCAAAATTCCCATGTGGGTCGGCCACTCAAAAGTAATTCATGGGTCAGTTCCTAAATTAGGTATATCAGACTTATATATAATTGATTTAAACATTGATGAACTTAATTGAAAGGATTAGGTCCACTACATGAAAAGTTTGACATTTGAACTGCAAAAAACACTCTCGTGATTTTTTTATGTTTCAATTCTGTTAATGCCAGCTAGCTTACTCACTGAAATGCAATAGATAGTGAATATGTTAGCCAATTAGAGTGCTGAATTTGTGATATTATGCCAGTTTGTTTCTAGTATTATTGATTTTAATGGTATACAAACAACTTGATATGTGTCAATTCTGTCAAGTTTGCAGATAATCTGATTTATGTTCGAAATGCATGACTGATACTCTGTCCTGTCCTTCAAGTTTGTATAACTCTCGCATTCAAAGCATAGTATACTTGTTGGTTTCCACTATCATTGATTATGGTGGAACATAAACAACTTGACATGTGTCAATTCCATCATGTTTGCTAATTTGCAGATAATTTGATTTATCATTCGATGCAAGCGTTTCTTCCTTTTCATTGACCAGAGCCCACCACGTGACCTGCAAATAACTGCCTATAAATAATGGTCTGCTCATGTGCAATGTCATTCAACTGTTTTTGGCTGCAAATACTATTCTGCTCATGCATAAATGAAACCACGCTTTTCTCCTTCTTGCGATTGCTCTTGCATGAAAATGGCAGATTGCTTCGCTTCCTGAAGATATTCCTTAAAAAACAACCTCAGTGATCGAATGATAAAACAATGTTATTATTGAACTTGGTTATCGCAAAATATCATGATTTGTCAGTGTCGCGCAGATCAATTATTTAATAATTTTGATCTGCTCGCCACTGACGAATCACAATACCGTAAAATTCCGAAAATAAGCCCCTCCATGTATAAGCCCCTTATAAGCCCCCCGAACCGGTAACGCAAAAACCCCTCCGTTAAATCGCCTCTCCAAATATAAGCCCCTCGGTGGCTTGTACTTGGAAAATTACCCTCAGATACAAAAGCTTACAAAGTAAAACAAAGCAAAAACGATAAATTTACTTTCAACTATAAGGTTAGCCCGATCAATTTTGAAACTTAATTTTCCTTCCGTAGATAAGCCCCTCCAAATATAAGCCCCCCCAAAAATAAGCCCCTCAAAAAGGGCTTTTGAAAAATACAAGACCCGGGGCTTATTTTCGGAATTTTACGGTATTTTGCTCAACCTCGTCCAATAATTGCTAATTATGTCATACAGCTGTAAATGCATGTCTGATAACTTGTACACTGTCCAATCCTTGCATATTTCAAAGCACAGCACACCTTATTAATTCAATTCTTTTCAAATGTATTTTTATTACAAACTTTATTGACAAAAGGTTTATGATCTATAAGTTTCTAACCTAATACAGTGGTTTTTTTTTTCAGAGCAAGCACAGGGGATGGCCCAGAAGTGTATGCTGAGATACTCACAAAGAATTTGACTCCTTATGTTACAACCCAGGTTAACATATTATGTGTTTTGTAGCTTTATCTCTAGCACATTGGGCCAGCAGAAAACCTGAAACTGCATTTAAATAACAACTAGTTTTGCAGTTTTTACTACTAGCCTGAATTTCAGCCGTCTTCTCGATTTGCAAACTCCTGAGAGAGACGTCTGGATTAACAAATAAATGATACCTTCCAGTGACGTAACGAATCACTGCCCAAAAATCAGGTGGTGATTTTGATTGCTTGTTTGGATATTCCCATTATTATGTGTAATTTTGAGAAATTTTAGCAGGAACGCATTTCATGGAGTTCAAATTTTTTACAATCTGCATTGTAAACAGGAAAATCTACTTTCCACTTCTTCAAACTGTAACTTGTTAAATTTACTTATAGATGAAGATTCGGTATGGAAAGATGGTAGATTTTCAGTTAACGCCGTATTGTAGTTTTGGCAGTGATGTTTTTGAAGGGCCACAGCAGTTTATCAACCTTGTTTTGAACTTGCAAAATCTGAAATCTTCAATTTCTTGTCATTTCCACTGTCAAGTGTAATGATTCTATTGATTTTTCTTCCTTTACTGGCATCCTTTGTTAAAAGGCCCAAAGGAGCTCTGCATTGTATGTCCAGTCATGTAGCTGATAGTTTGAACATTGAACAAGAGTTACAATACATGTAAAACAATACAAACAGCTCTGTACCCTGTGCACCTTATCCTGGCTATATTTATTCTTTGTTTATGGCTTATTTACATATTACATACCTGTTTGCATGAATTAAACAAAAGAGTAGTGGCATTCTTGGATGAGTGTGAGACTGGCTCAGTGGTGTTTGTGCATTGTGGATTTTTTTAGGGAAGCCATCTCTTCTTTTGTTAGCTATTTTGCAGTTGCACTTAACATTATGGTTTATGCATCAGCATGCGTATGTCAAGATATGAAGCACCCAGGAAGATTGGAAAGCTCGAAAGAGATGTAAGAGTTGCTCAAGGTGCCGCTGAGATCAACTCTAGTCTCTTGAGTGCTCTCGAGCTCCAAACTCCGCAGGTGCTTCATATTTCAATATACGCACAGCTGAAGCATGAACCAATTCATTTATAACATTTTCAATGCGATCAACGCAACAGTAACGTAGAATTTTATTATTATCATAGGGGGCACTCAAAGCAGTACATTTCAATGTATTCTAATCCATTTTCAGTTTGCCAAACTTTTTTATGTAAACACCATTTATGTAAACACCATTTATCGTGCATAGTTTCACGAAAGCTTATGGCGTAGACTATAAAATCATTTGTCTTCTTAAAGTAACCGACTAAGGAAAGATCTGGAGGTCCGAAGATTTCCAAAACCACAGTGTAAATTAGACTTTGTTTAAATAACTATTAAATAATGTAATAGTTGTGGTCAGTGGTTTTCGTTGTGAATGCTTTCTTCCAAATTCCTTCTTCCCCTTTGCGTGAAAAGCGGAAAGAGGTTGAAAATGAAGAGAAAAATATTGATGGCCTGCAAAAAAAGCTAAAGCGAATGTAAAAATCACTTGTTTCTCATTAATAAAAGGTCAGTGAAAACATAGTTAGTAGAACTATGGTGAAAAGTCGGAATTTTTAACCTTCTGATAAGTGGCAACCCTGATTAATATAGTTCTGCCATTGTGAGAACTTTAAACTCAGTGAAGTAACAACAGTAAAAGTAATTCCAAAAGTGTAGTTTCAGGTATTCTGCTGGTTTGGCGTGATGAAATTTAGTAGGTAGGCACGTTAAAATAAGTTGAAGTCGTTATTTAGGGACCTTGTTGAGGCCTCTAATGTAATAAATGACCCTAAATGTAATGAAGGTCTAAGTGTAATAACTTTTGGCCCCAAATGTAATAAAGGTCTTAAGTGTAATACCTTTTGGCCCTAAATGTAACAAAGGTCCTAAATGTAATAACTTTTGACCCTAAATGTAATAAAGGTCCTAAGTGTAATTTTTTCAGTTCTTTATATGCTAAGGGTCATAAGAAGATTTCACAGCGTTTGCTTTTAGCCTTATTACAGGTTAACTGAGTACCAAAATGTGTCTAGGGAATATCAAACATTAAATACCCCAGGCAGAACCCCTATATAGCCATTTGACTAACAACTTATTATTATTATTGCTATCATTATCACTGTTATTTTTATTGTCATTATTAACTGAAAAGAATGTTTAATCGAAGGGATTTGTAAAATTAATAGTCCTTTGACCGAATACTGATTAGCTGTAAATAAGTTTTAACAGTTAGCATTGTTATCAATAATACCTCTTTAACGACGACTTGAAAACAGAGGTCCATGATATGAAGAAAATTTTTTAAGAACTCTTTAATGTCAAAAAGGACTGACGTATCTTAAAACTTATGTAACAAAACAAAAGAGCCTCGTTTATTATAGCAAATTTTCTCCAGAAACTGTACCTTCATCCATTGGATTGAACTAAAAAATCTGTTTCATAGGCAAAGGCCAAAAATGTCAAAATTGCAGCTTGCAGTACCACCATGATTTCTAATCTGGGTCAATAACACAACATCAGCTAAACTGTTTTTACTTTGTCTGTTAACAAATAAGTGCAAGTAAGTGTACTTTAATTATTGCTCCCTCGTCCTTCTTTCCACCATGCATTGGTAACATAAAACCAAGTTCCAACCTCAGCAAACAACAGCTCAACCCAGGCATTTATCCACCTGGGGCTGGCTATTATCTCTCTAAGAGCCAGCACAAATCCACTGTATGGAACAAATTCTTTGCTTAACTTACGCAAGCTGAAACAGCCATTTCGCGCAGTGTCGCGATGGTTGTAGCTTATTCGTGGTAGCCGACAAATATAACGGATTGTGAGTTCTTTAAAGGGTTCACCAAGCTGGCAAAGGGAATTAGAGCGGTTTTCACTTGACTGTCGAAAGTAATTGAGGAATTGGTTTGGTTTTGGTTTTACTACGCCCTTTGGTTGGCTAGTGTATTTACTTTGGTTTTGGTTTTACGACAGTCAAGTGAAAACCGCTCTATAGGTGATAATACTTATGTCAGTTCCGGTTAACGCTAAGTCTATTATTTTGTCGAGTATTTCATTTGGAAGTTAACTGGTTGGACCACCATTATCATCACAACCACCATGATATAACTTACAGTGTTCACAGCATTCTGTATGGACCGACCGACATACTCTTTTGGAATATGATAAAAAAAAAACATTATTGTTTTGGCGCAACATTAAAAAACCCCATAGGCAAAAGTGGTTAATTTACTACGATTGTTTCTAATGAACATTCATACTTCCTTCAATTGCTAAATTACTGCTGTATTTTGAAAACTTTTGTGTAGATTCCATTTGCTTATAACTCGCATTTCACGATGTAGGGATGTGTAGTAGGAAACATGATCGAGACGTAATTAATTTATACGTGTTTCTCCTACTTCTTGAGCGCTCTAGCCGCTTTCTAAGTTAATGAATATCCATGAAGACTACAACAGGGTGAAGAAAGTGAATCGCCAGCTGGCTATATCGCATCAGACCGTCGCATGTTTCAGTCAGGGACTTTATCACATTTGGGGCTGTTATACTACATACATGTATACTGCTAAGACTTCCATTATATTTAGGGCTAAAACCTATTACACATATAATTAGACCCTTTATTATATTTAGGGCCAAAAGTTATTACATTTAGGACCTTTATTACATTTAGGGCCAAACGTTTTTACACTTAGGACCTTTATTACATTTAGGGTCATTTATTACATTTGAGGCCTCAACAACCTTATGTTCCGACAACAGCAACGTCCATGAAAATGCCTATAAAAATAGACTTCATATCCTCTCAAACTATATCAAGATTATCTTAAGTCACCTTGTTACTTAAAAGAGGGAATTTAGGTTGGAGCTGAAGAGAAGGCACTGAGTCCAAGTTGATAGAGAGATGGTAGAATTTATCGCCTTGCCATTCCTGTTCTCAAGTAAACTTAAAATTTGGTCATTTTATGTTGTAGTTGCGCAGGGCTGGCAAAGAAATTTAAGAAAAAGCATGTGCAGAGTCATTGCTTTGCTCATTAGACATAATGGTTTTTTGACATTCCCGTTGCCGTCACTGTCATAGTTTTGTTTTGATTAATCCTAATCAATGAACTTCACGTTATGATACCCACTCAAGGTCTGGACCAGGATAACTTGACTGGAAATTGAATAGTACCGTAAATACAGTATACATAGCAATTATGTCCAATGAATGAAAATAATTATTGATTTTCCTCTCATCATCTGTCCAGGTCTCAGCCCATGCAGCTAAACGAAAAATTGCTGAAACAAGTACTACACCAAGGGACTTTTTAAAGAAATATGACGAACTGAAGTCTAAAAAGTTGAGTTGTCCTCAATATTTACATTTTTAGATCAAACACGTATTTACAAGGTGCTTGTGGAGGGGTTGTTGTTGACGTCATCAGCTGTTTTCTTGTAAACTTAAGTACAATGTTTGTTTGTTGATGTCAATGTAAAGCATAAGTAGAATTTTTTAACAGTGTGTATTTGTTTACTTGCAGTGTGAGGGAACTTGATCCATTGGTTTACATGCTGTCTCGACTGGCCGAGGATAAGCAGGTTTGAATTTTTTGTATTCAAGTCTCAATTGGAAAGCTTGCAAGCTTTGTCTTTAATAGATTTGGCAAGGTAAATTAATGTGTAAATGTAAATGTTGTGTCTGGTAACATTACCATTATGTCCCCATGCCGTTTTACATGCACTTAACAGCAGCAAAATGTCTTAAGGTGGCACAACCAGTATTTTTGTAGGCATACCTTTCCCCTTTGGACCTCTTATAACTAAACATGGGTTACACATAGACTGAACTTAATTACGGTTGGAATGATCACTTGACAATGACGTCACTATGGTTTTAGCTCTTAATCACATTGCAGCCCTTATTTGCTGTGTACAATTTGAACTGGGTGCTTTCCATCTGCCGTGTGAATTTTCACAAAAAATTTGTAAGAGGAATCTTGAGATATCGTTGAATTTCTACTTGAAAGCTATGATTTATGCATAAACTCAATATTGGACTTTATGCAACCATTTGGATGTTTCTGGAAAGTTTTATTGAATTGGTGTTTAAATCAAAATTCATCACAGTAATAAGAATTACTGTCAGTGAATACTTCCCTCCCTTCATACTCTTTAAACCTGGCCTAGCTATATTAGCAGCTGCTTCTTGAAGCCAATCAAGTGTAAAAGGTGTTTTCCTAAATAAAGTTACAGTTAAGTGAAGTTATGTTGTTACAGATGTTGACATTCCTTGAAAAGAACACCAAAGATCGATCCAGGGCACGTGTAGGTGCTCTAGCCAGTGGGTCCAAGACTAGTGCAATAGCTGCTGCCGAGGCTGTACTGGATAGCGTACCTGCATCAGGAACTATGACCCAACTTGAAGTTAATGAAGTAAGTATGTCTTACATGTATAAGTAAGACCAGCAGCTTCACTTTCTGCTACACAGGTATCCTCCTTTTTTTATTGAATATTAGAAGTACACAATTGCAGTCTGTGTTCACTTTAACCCATTCGCCCGTGAACCACCCGTAACCGCCCGTGCGGATCCACGTCCTTTCTACCCTTTGTGACGTCATCAGTTTTAACGGTCAAGGACAACTTTGTCCGCTAGCTTGTGCAGAGTGAAGAGATCTTTCAAACCATACCAGAATGAGCACAATTCAGTCAAGGACACCAGAGAAAGAGGCAAAAAACCATGTAACATTGACCTGAAAATCTCCATGAAAATCTTGTTCCATTGCCCACCTACCTTTCCTTTCACCTAATCCTAAGATCCTAAAAGCTCTCCTAAAAACTATTCCCACCAAAATGAAGCCTACTAAATGCCCAGCAATAGAAAAAAAATGAGGCAAGAAAAGCGAAAAAACAGGGGAGGAGAGAAAGCGAAAAGTAAAAGTCAAGACTGCTATGTCACTTTTAAGCCCAAAAATATGTCGAAATTTTGCTTTCTGCGCATGCCCGAACTTCGCAAGCTGATATTTTGCATCTGGATCAGAAGGCCATCAAGTGTACGACCTGTAAACCGGTTTGTGGTAAGTTTTAGCTCTTTATAGCACGACAGTGACCAGAAAACCACTCGACTAGCTTCAAAATGCGTTTTTCGGCAAAATCTCCAGGAGGGAATGGGTTAATGTACCTTGTAACACATGCTTGCATTCAGGTCAAAAGTTTTAAACCTAGGTTGATTCTCAATTTCCTTTGTCTGGTAGCCCTAATTCATGAATGATTAGGGCTAGGAGATAAAGGAAATTGAGAATCAACCTAATTAAAGACTTTTAACCTGAATTTAATCTTGACCTGTAACTTATACATTGCTAACCTAAGGAATCTTAGAACCATTGATGTGGTTTAATTTTACATTGTTGAGTTCTCTGATTAGCTTCTTTATTAGAACAGGTCATCAACTGAGGAGCGACTGCACATGAAAGGAAATCTAATACAAGACCTACACGTGTTTGGTGTCTTATTACGTAACATCCTTCCTTCTCTAAGAGGAATGATGAATAAATGAATCAGCTAAGCCATATCAAGTGACAAAACAAAAACAAAGATAAATGACAAATCGAAGCTTAACTGCAACTTAAGGGAAAAAAAGAGAAATTGTTTATAGTCATGTCCTTATTCTCAGTATCTGTCTCTTGCTTTCAATGTTTGTGGAGTGAGGGTTTACAGCTCAGTTTCTTATAATGTATTAGTCCTTCAAGTATGCTGGCTCACGGACCACTCTCCTGGGTCTGGTTTCAGTCGGCACTGACACGGATGTCGGCCTGAATGATTTGTTATGGCGTCCCAGCTCCGGTTTCTTGCTACGTGGTGGTGCAGTTGTCGCTTGTGTAGAACAAGATTTCTGGTCGTTAGACGGTGACATAATTGATAAAGGTTGGCTGGCATATGGGTCGGGGGTTTTGACAGCCATTTCCTGAGTCGACTTCAGGTCTTTTGATGCTACCGGTATCTGGGTGGTTCATTTCTTGTGTCTTTTGAAGATCCACTCTGTCTTGCTTGTAGGATGCATCTTCTGTCGCAATCAGGTATTATTGTTCATCCAGTCTTTTTGCCACCATTGCTTTGTCCCATGTCTTCTCATTCAGTGTTTATGGTCTCATGCGTACAACATCTCCTTCTTGTAGTGGGGTAGGTCTCTTTTCTGTTGTAGTAGTGCTCTTACTTTTGTTGACACATTTTGATTCGCTTGTTGATGTCTTCTGTGTTGACATGCTGTGGTTTGAGGAGTTCAGCTGTTATGGGCAGTTGGTTTTTGGTGGGTCTTCCCAGCAGTCTTTGCGCTGGACTCGAATCCATATGTATTTTGTAGCGGTGTTTCGTGCTGCAAGTATTGCAAGGAAGGGGTCACTTTAGCTTTTCTTTGCCTTCCTGAGGATGCTCTTGGCCGTCTTGACAGCAGATTCAGCCTGACTATTTGCTTGTTGATGACCAGGACTGCTCGTCTTGTGCTCAAAGCCCCATTCTCTTCCGAACTGAGTGAACTCTGAAGAGGTGAATTGTGGTCCAAGATGCTGGATTGTAGATGATGTTGATGTCAAATCTCTGAATCTTGCAAAACATCCCTTGTAGTCTTTTGAGTGCAGATCTTAACGGCTTTTTGGCAATGGCCTCCAAGGGTTTGTGGCCGCTCTTGATTGTGACAGGTCTGCCATATGTATATTGCTCGAACTTGTCTAGTGCAAAGACCACAGCGAGAAGTTCCTTTTCAATCTGCACATATCTGGATTCTGTGTGTGTGAGGGCATGGCTTGCAAAAGCCACAGGCGGAGCTTTCTGTAGTACTGCTGCTCCAAGCCCAATCTCGCTGGTATTGCATTGGATTGTTAGTTCATCTTCCGGGTTGTAGTACTTGATAAGTGGTGATGTGGTGGCTATTTCTTTAATTCATTTGACAGCTGTGTCATGTTCATGGGTCCATTTCCATTCATTCTCTTTGCAAGTGAGGTTTCTAATAGGCTCCATGACTTCACTTAGTTTTGGCATAAACTTTGCTAAGTAATTGACAAATCCACAGAATCTTCTGACTGCTTTGATGTTGTCCAGTCTCGGCATTTCTTGCACAGGCTTTATCTTGTCCGGGTCTGGTTTCAGGCCCTCTTTGGTGACAACTTGTCCCAGGTAGGAAAATTCTGTGCACTTGAGTTTAAGCTTAAATTTGTTTAGCTTGATTCCTTTTTCTCTGCATCGCTGCAGAAACCTCTCTTAGTTTCTGTCCTGATCAGCGTCAGCCTGTTCATCAGTGTCACCAACCCCATATATAACCATGTCATCATGTACATCAAGCAGACCAGGTCAGTTTGGCTGACTCTTCATCAAGTACCATGTGCCAGTATCCATTGCGGGCATCAATTTTTGTGAATACCCTAGCTTTTGATAGTTCTGGTAACACATCTTCTATCACTGGGATGGGATATCTTTCCCACTTAAGCGCATTATTGAGGTCTTTTAGATTAATACAGATCCTCAGGTCTCCAGATGGCTTTGTCGCAATCATTACATCGGTGACCCATTCTGTGGGTGCATCCATTGGTGCTGTCCGCCTAATTTTGTGAGCTTCTCTAGTTCTTGCTTGAGTCTTCAGCGCTAAGGGTACTTGTCTGGAAGGTCCAATATTTGGCAATATTCTGGGATCAACTTCTAATCGCTGAGCCCCTGGGAGGGTTCCTAGGTCTCCTTCAAAGATATCTTGATACTCCTCGATGAATTGGTCAGTGGTCTTCAACTTGTCTGCTCCGCACGTTGGCTGTTTGATGCCTGCTACCTGCACAAAATTTTGTGGGTGTATTTCAAGGAGTCCCATGTGTTGGCTGGCTTTTGCTCCTAGAAGTGGGATTAACTTCTCCTTCACGACGACAAACACTAAGGAATATTTCTTGTCATTCCTTGGATTTTGGATCATGACACCTTCACTCTTCAATTCCGATTTATTCCACATTTGAAAGACCTTCTTGGTCGGGTTAATCTCTTTGTGTCCTACATACTTTACAGGCAGCACATTGACAGTCACCCCACAGTCTACATGAAAGCGGATTGCTTTTCCTTTCTGGGTCATTTCTGCATAAATTTCTTGCGCATTTTTACAGTGTTTGACTGTACTAATGTAATCGGTTGTTATTGTCACGCAATCAATGTAATCTGATTCACTTGAGCTTTCTTCGTTTATGTCATCTGCATCACTTATCTTGAACTTTCTTCGTATTCTTCTCTTAAACCGTGCGTCCTGTTTTTGCTGGTGGACTGGTAGCATTTGACGAAATGGTTGTCTTTTCCACAAGAACTATAGTTTGCCCCCCAAGCGGGACAATGTTGTCGGCCAAATCGGTTATTTCCTCTACAGAACTTGCAAGTCCGTCGTCAAGTCCTTCTTGTCTGGCAATTTCTGGTCTTTCTGTTTTGATTCCTTCACGCCCACATCTGTTTTTTTTTTACACGCTTGCTTTTTTCCTTTACCCTTCATACTTCTTCTTTTACGGAGTGACCTAGCGACTTACTCTGTGTGTTTGAGTCTTCGCTTGCCTTGCAAATGTCGATGCACCATTGGAGTGTCAATTGCTGTTGCTGTAATAATCTCTTATGTGCTCTACAATCTTTGATCCCAACCACGATCCTCAGCTTCGCGACGTACTGGTCTATGGATTCCCCTTCTTGTTGTTCTCGTTTGTTGAAGAGATAACACTCTAATATTTCGTTTGTCTCTCCAATGGCGTATCTGTCAAAGGCTGTGGTAATTGCATTGAGATTACTCTTGTCTTCTTGACTTAAATCAAAGCCATTGTAGGTTTTCACAGCTTGTGGGCCTATCGAATAAAGAAATAGAGCAATTCTACATTCCTCTGTTTGTCTGTTCAACTGCAGACCACAGTTTCATAGTTCTTCCATTGTTGCTTGTATAACTTCCAGATCTCGCCCTTGTTTCTCAAGGACAGATTCAATCCTGTCAGGGGTTGTGTACCTTGCAATGGCACCGCTGGTTGTACTCCAGCGGCAGGAGCTCGTTGTTCAGCGATCGGTTGAACCTCTGCCGCTGGTTCTTCAACCTCTGCGTTGCTCATTCTGTTTAATTTACCGCTGCCACCGTGTTAAGTTCTCTGACTAGCTTCTTTACTAGAACAGATCATCAACTGAGAAGCAACTACACATGAAAGGAAATCTGACACAAGACCTACATGTGTCCAGTGTCTTATTACATTACGTAGCATACAATAATCTCTAGAGTCCACATTTTTAGAGGAAATTCTGCATGGATTTCTAATAAAGGGCAAAAGCAGGGAGGTCAAATCCACAAAACAATATTTATGGATGTTGACTGTTATGCTCAAAAGTTTGACAGAATATGATTTGTCTGAACTTAGAAGTCTGTGAACGAAATCCAAGGTTGTGCTTCTTTGTTATATTTCTTTTGTTCCCTGGAATTTAGAATGTGAAGCCATATGCAATGATCAGGACTGTTATTAACATTTCAAGTTGGTGGTTATATATGCTGGCAGCTGTAATTGAATATGCAGGAACTTCGTTTTGGCTATTGTCCTTTTGTTTCCTATTAAAGTAGCTAGGGGTCATGCTCATAGAGTAGAGATGGGTAAATCCCTGGTCCTAAGTGACAGCCTTGAATTATTTTTTAAACTGATTTTTTAGCAATGTTGGTAGTCTTGTTTTTATTTTCCCAGTAATGATTACTTCCTTCTGTTTCCAGGGTGTTCTCCATTTATAATGAAAAATTCTCTGGCTAACGTTCAGTAGCCTGTGACTATTTTTTATTCAGATGAGGAGCCTCTGTCAAAATATTCTCCTGTAACATTATGTCTTTCTCCTGCTATTAGAATTCTTAATCAAAACCCTGTTTCTTTTTATTTCCCCGTAGCTTCGCACCAAACTTGCAACGGTAACAAGTAGTGCTAGCCAATCAGGTTCATCTCCTGAGGCTGTGTTAAAAGCCTTAAGAGAGAAACAAGCCAGGAGGACTGGTACATACTAATCTTATAAGCACTTAATGTGTGAAACTTGTAGCAGCCATAACAATATTTAGCGTAATATGTAAATTTGTTTGTTACTAGTTTTATTGCAAAACTCACAAAACCATTAACATGAGAAATGTTTTTGGACTGTTATTGTGTTGCCAGGGAAGAGCTAATCACGCATGGGAAAACTAAACTGCAAGCAGCAACAGTAATTAGCTTGTGGTGACTTGTGCATGTGTCCTGATCTTGGCCTTGATTGGTCATAACACAATAATCATGCCTAAAATATTTCAGGTGTTCATGGTTTTAGTTTGACAGTAAGAATTCTTCAGTTCTTCTCTTTTGTAAAAACGTTTGTGGTTCCTGAATAACAATGAGTACATTAATCACTCTAATACCCATGCACTGTAGCTGGTATTTTTTTCTTAATAAATTTGCAGTGTTCTGAATACAAAAACATATCAATCATCATAAGTCATATCAACATAATCATAAGTCAAGCCCAATCAAAATGAAAAAGTGGCTGTTATATACTGTTAATAATTTTTTTTTTTTTAACAGGCAATTTACCTCCAACGCCATCCTGGGTCAGCGAACGTCCTTACCTTAGCAGAGATTATGTGACTGCAGGTTTAACAACTTCCTCCGCAGTTGTGAGTATATTAATTTTACCTAATTCTCAAATACACTGATTAAAAATAGCCCTCTGAGAGGACATGAGCTCAGGCAATGAAAAGTCTGTGCAAAAACCACGTGCTTGCAAAACAAAATCGTTCTTCAAGGCAGTCACGTTGTAGAGGGACTTCAAATCGGCACATGCACTTTTTGTCACTGTTTGTTATGTGCTGTAAGTGCTTTATAGCATGTAAGGTTGGTTCAGCGGCCACGGGCATTGTTAAAGCTTTCACAGATATGGTTCTGGGACTATTGTAATTCCTTGCCAAGATTAAGCACCAAATTTCATGACAAAATTACCATAAAAAAGGTGGAATTTTAAAAACTCCAGTGCTTTTGAAATTATGTAATTTTGTGACACTTTAGTTGAGTGTTTACAAAGTAAAAGTGACAGATTTGTGTTTGCATTTTCTCCACATTGTGATTTTCAATGTTTAATACTACCAACAATTAAAAAATAGTCATTACCAGTAAAACTTAATCAACACATAGAGCGGTTTTCACTTGACTGTCGTAAAACCAAAACCAAAGTAAATACACTAGCCAACCAAAGGGCGTAGTAAAACCAAAACCAAAACCAAAACCAATCCCTTTCGACAGTCAAGTGAAAACCGCTCTAAAGCAATTATGAATGGATAGAAATAGCAAAGAAATTAATTTGGTTAAACCAACTCAAGAATTATCATAAGTCAAAACAGAACACTTTTCCTGTAATGTGATATTTGAAAGACCATACCTCATGAACACAAGCACCTTACCTTAATACTACCAGCAATTACAAAATAGGTGAGTTATCCTCCATTCACTTAGGTGCCTTGCTTACTGCAGCTACTCTTAAATATGCATTTTGTACTTTTCCCTTCCTCCCCACTCCTTTGGAAGTGTCTTTGTTGTAATACAAATAATATGTGTATTGCCTCTTGTATCTTGCTATCAGTTAAGTCTCACAGAGACTTCCCCAAGGTTTGTGATTTAGCAATATTTCAACTGTGATTAGCTTTATCTCTGTTATTAGCCTGCAGTGCAGGCGTATTTTGGGTGGGTGAAACCTTGTTCATCTTCGTGATATTGTTGTAGCCGCCATCTTTGATTTTATGACAGTGGAAGATTGGGGAGAGTAGAAATAGTAACCCTTACGGTAGGTGCGAGGGCGAAAGAAGGAAAGGGTGGAGGGGGAGGGGAGAAAAAAATACGCCTGCCCGATATCATTGTTCTTTTGGGAAACTCCGTACGCTGGCAAACGGAGCTCCTGATTGGTGCGGCATAGGGAAGTAGATTGATGCCTGTCAATTAACTGTAAGTCTATATTGTTTATTCCGTTTCCGTCAGTCTTTTGGAATTGGAGTGGCTGGGAATGTCACGTGTGTTACGCAATGAGAAAGTCAAAGCGATTTCTTCACTGGTCATCAGGACAAGATTTGCTCGCAGTACTAAAACCTACACCATTTTTATCTCATGCCAAAATGCTGCTTGTTCCAATACGTTTTGTTTCTGACAAGTAGATTATGCTCTAGAGGGTTCTATTTTTTGACTAAGCAAATGTGATTTTAGCCGCTTGTTTCACACTGAGAGGTCATAACACGCTTATTGATTTTCTGTGGTTTTTGAATTTCTGGTCTTCATGATTTGCCCTCTGATGCAAGAGCGTTTTCTTTGACCTCTTTTGAAGTGTTAAGCTCTTTTTGTCGCTAAATAAGTCTGTTAGGTTCTTTATTTTTGTCCAAAGTGCCTCAGGATCTGAATAACTAAGCGATTTTCTTTCTAGTCCGAGAAAAAAATGTGATGTTTTCCTGCAATGTTGTAGCACGCTGGGCCCAGCTCGTTAGTTTTTAGAATTGTTTGCAGGATGTTAAACTCTCACGGATACCGATTTACAGAGATGAGTTTAGAAGAATGAATTGCAACTTAAACTGGAGCTTCATCAGCTTTGGAGTTGCATTGTGACTCAGTCAAGATAAAAACAATGATAAACTCCAGCTTGCTTTTCTTAAGACAATGCGAGTCTTTGGACTGGAGCGACTGTTTGGTGGTTTTGTTATTGTCGGCTACTCATTTCCGGAAGAGCGGTCACGCGCGTCTAATTAGGGGGTGTTTCTCATTTTCACAGTGTTTTCGGGCAGGCGTTTTCTCTTCTCTCTCCCTGCCCCCTCCCCGCTCCCTTTGACTCGCCCCATCTCCTCCTCTCCTCGGAAAGTTTCAACATGGCGATTATCGAGTAAATTGCGCGCTAAAAGAAAACGCCTACACTGCAGGCTATCTCTGTTATTTGCCAATTAATCATTTTCCAATTCAGCACTTGCCGGCGGTGTCAGCCTAAATTGCTGTTAATATAGATTGGCTTTAGCAAAGTATGAACTACCTACACTCATTCCATGAGGCTGCACATTGCTGAGGTGTAGGTTTTCAGCATATAGTGCTGTGGAGAGTAAGGCTTTTAGGTTGCTTGAGGTTTTGGACCTACCGGTACGATCCTCAGCTGTACACTCCACAGGGGAGATAGGTTTGGCTCTGGTTACACTTTTTGTCACTTGGGGAAGTCGAACATCACGCCAATAGCAGAGTGGTGTTCCCCCTTTAAAGCCAACATGGAGTGTTACCTTTCTTTGCCCTTACATTTAATTGTATAGGAATAATGGCATATTATCATTATTTACAATAACATGGGAGCGCCAACGTTAAAATATAATTTACATATCTATTCATAATGTGGCTTGACAAATGTTGTACATTTATTTACAGCCTGTGTCAGTTGGAACTTTACCTTTACCTATGCAGGAGTTAGCCATTGTAGAAGATCTCCTGTTTCTTATGATGGTGAGATTTGTCCCTTATGCCGATTTTGACTAGGTTGTAAAAAGTGTTTTAAAATCAAATTCCAAAATTGTTTGAACCTAACTAGTTTGATTATCTATCTTTTACCTCCTTACCTTAACTGTTTTATTCATGACCATGAAGACCATGAGACCAAGAGAATTGAGAATCAAACGAGTCCATTTTTACATTACTTTCACTTATACCAGCAACATTTAATGCTGCATTTAGAGCACTTGTTGTTGTGTAATGATTTTTTACTCAGGTGAACAAATGTCTATTATATTTGTCACTAAATCAGTTAGCTGGTCAATTAACTTAATTATTGCCAAAATTTTGCAAGTGAGTAGTCGTCTTAATAGTTCAAGGGTCAAAAGAATGTGATCATAACTACAGTAAAAACCCGCGCATAAGAACCTAGTGATTAAAGAACCTACAGGCCAAAAACCCCGAAAATATAAGAACCTGTTCAGCCTGGCAAAGAAAAATAGTTTCTTACAGAAAAAATCATTTCGATTTTGATGGTTGAAATTCTGGATTTGAATTGTGTGAAAAACGTCTGACAAAAAGTTGGGTATATGTTTCCTTTGATTAACCATTATGTATTATTTATTAACCTTTATGTAGTATTATTTCAATATTTCTTCTAAAGGTTACACTACGGCAACCTCTAAAAAACAAGAACCTATTAAGAACGTAGTCAACCTGAATTGTGAAAAACTACCCTAAAATATAAGAATAGCGTGTACAGCCTGACCTCGAAAATTCTAGGTTCTTATGTGCGAGTTTTTAATGTATTTTAACTGGGTGGTCACGTGCAAACCTACAAGGCAAATTTTCACCTTAAAAATTATATTCCCAAGTATTTGATCTTTCCTGTTGTTGTGTCCAACTGTAAGTAAGATTATGTCAGACATGGATACATTTTAGTGGGATATCATCTGATGACCCAATTGTTATTTGCAGTTCTGCAACATACATCAAGTTGAGTACATGCAGGCTATTTCGTTCACTCGTGTGAATTGAAATGGAGTTTCACTTGCTTTTTTGTTTATTTTCAGGGTGTTGAGGGGAAGTATCTTCTTGTCAAACCTCTTAAAGACAAGTTTAGTGCCAGAAGTTTCACCATTGATAAGACTTTAGGTAAGAGCGTGCTCTCATATAAAATTAAACATTTAGGTGAGATTTAGCAGGGCTGTCATCAAGAGGCGGGGGCTGGGGATTTCCCCCTTTGAACGTGGCCCCCGCCTATTTTCAAAGGAAAATAGAAGAAAAATGGAACCAAAAGAAACCCCTACATGTAGCTGTTTGATTCCCTGCCCACGAGTTGTATTTACACGGCAACTTGAAATCTTAGTGACCACCTTGATTTAGAGTCAGTTGTGGCCTTTCATGTATCATGGAATGCAGAATGTAAAAAGCATACATCATGCATGATGCATCTTATCCCATTTTAAATACAGAGATATCAATGTTGGAGCTGGTACAAAGAATCTTACCTGTTTGTTCCCATTACTCAACCATCTGCAGATTTATTGAAGGTAATCATGCGTAAATTGTATTTCTTAGACAAAAAGGATGCAAGACACAGGGTGAGACAAAAACAAGAAAAAAACGCTTGCTAATTAAAATACAACAAATCTGTAGCTGCAATGCAGGTGTATTTTTTTGGCAAGCAAAAGTTCCTTGGGGTCTTGCAAACATAAGTTCTTTCGCTTTACACTGCATGCAGCATAAAGTTGTTCTACTTGTAGTGCTAACGGTAATTAGATGCAGGTTTTTGATTTCCAGTACTCAGTTTCTTTCAATAATGTTTTGGGTAAAAACACCCTTTCAGATAGGGGATAATATTACAGCATTCTTCCACTTTTTGTGTGTCACCTTTCACTAATGTGTTACCATAGTATTTGAAAGTTAAATTTGACCAGCATTGTATGGTCACGGTTGCCTTCAAACGTACTTACAAAACTAATGAGCTCTGTGGCTTATTTGCTGAAATTAGGGGAAAATCTGTTTTACTATTTCGAAGAAATTAACATTTTTTTAAAAATGCAGATTTTAATAATATTATATGCTGATATCTCAGATGAATGTTTTTATACCTACAAGAAAGTAAAAAACATTTTTTTTAAAGTTCCACCATTCTTTATTGAGGATGTCAAAAACCGTAGAAAACGGTTACATCTTTCCTCCTTATAAATAGGTTTGCACGACCTTTGTAACTTCCCTGGTTTTTTTATGCCGAGGGTGCGAGATGTTCATGAATAAACGTTTCATAAATTTCCAAATGTATCCTAAAAATGGAGTAAAGATATTCACATAATTAAAGACTTGTCTTGCATTTGTTAGAGTTTATTTTACTATTTTATGTGTTTTTTAAAACTGTGCCAATACAGGCTGTTACAGCTCAAATTTTTCTACCATGTGAGCAGGCATAAGATCAAATTTTTTGTCTCTATTTTCTATATCCTTGAGATTCTCACTTAGAGCATGAGAATAAGTAGCAGGTATAAAGGTAAAGGTGCACACGAGCAAAGGGCCCAAACGGCCGGAGCTTAGCACGGTTTCATTATCATGAAGCACCTAGGAGTATTGCTACTTCCCCCTGGATGGGATGCCACTCCATCACAGGGTTACCCCCAGCAGTATGTCGCCGGTACCCATTTATACACCTGGGTGAAGAGAGACAAAGTGGAGTAAACTTCCTTGTCTAAGGAAACAACGCGACAGGCGAGGCTTGAACCCCGGACCTCCAGATCCAGAGTTTGAGGTGTTAACCACTCGGCCACACACGCCTCCACAAAAAATGGCAGGAATATTGCATCGCTTTTGCATGCATTTAATGTTATAGTATGGCTGGAAGTTTTTATTTTGTTAAACAAGAATCTTCTCAAGAGGGTGAAGTCGAGCTTGCTTGGGGGGAAAGAGGCCTCTTTTAGCAAGGAAATTTGATGAGAAATGTTTAAAGATTCCTTTTTATCACGATTTCGTGAGAATTCTGTGTACAGATCTCTGCATTTCTCGCATACAAGCACAAGGTACACGCAATGCAATAGTCTCTGATTGTCCGATTACATACTCAAATGTCAAACAGCGAGTTTTTACTTGAGAACATGCAACAGTATATTGTCACATCCTTCCTCTTTTTTGTTTTCTTTTTAAACGGAACAATAACAAATAAAAATATAGATATATATAACAACAAGAGCAGTTCTGTCCATCCTACACCAGCATCATACGAAACAAGAACAAATGTTTGTATTGTTTGTACTGGTCAGCCAGGTTAAACGTAGTCTTGTGTGCGGGCAATTTCACCACTCTTCTGGATCGTGTGGTTTGGATGGGATGGCTTGCAGTTTGCTTAACTGATAACTGTGGCTCGGCCCTCCTGTCTGGTTTAGGTGGATTTGTAGCGGATTTTGCTCTGATGCTGTTGCTGGGAAAACGGTTGTGTATTCTGTGACATGTTCCTCCTTCAGGTTCAGTGATATATTCACATCATCCCTGGTAGGTGTGGTCATGCCTTTGAAAGACATCACAGGAAAGCTTCTGTAGAAAGGCTCTTGAGACTTTCACAGGTGATGGCGGTTACGGACATACACCTGTCCATTCTCAGTGTGAAGCTCGTATGCTCGTATGCCAACCTTGGATTGTACAATGGCCTTAACTGGTTCTTGAGCTCTACCAGGTCTTTAGCTCGTTTATTGTAGTGATGAGCCTGTCTATGCTTGCACAGAAAGAACTTCTTGTTGACATTAACGCAAAGCTTTGGTATAAGGAGGTTCGCAGTAGTTGGAAGTAGGTTTTTTGTCGTTCTTCTCATTAGACGTTGGACAGGGCTTGAGTCGAGCCCTTGGGTAGGTGTGTTTCTGTGTGACAAGAGTGAAAGGCATGGATCTGTTCCAGCTTTCTTTGCCTTCTTCATCAAGGTCTTGGCTGCTTTGACAGCTTGCTCTGCCTTCCCTTTGCTTTGTGGATACCCTGGTGAAGATGTCTTGTGCTCAAATTCCAGTTTATGACTAAACGCTTTGAAACTGAGGTCCATTGTCTGAGGTGTACACGTCCAGAATACCATAGCATGCGAAGTGGGCTTTAAGCTTGTTTATGACAGTACAAGATGCAGTGTCTGGCAGTGCATCAACTTTCCAGAATCCAGAGTAATAATCCACTGTGATAAGATAATTGAGGTCATTGCAGCTGAAGAGGTCTGTCCCAATTTTCACCCACGGTCTACTTGGCACTTGATGAGAATGCAGCGTTTCTTTTGCTTTCTTGCTGTCAAAGGAATGGTAGATGCTGCATTTGTCCATATAATCCTTAACAGCACTTCTCATGCTCAGCCAATACAAACATTCTCTGGCTCTTCTAAGGTAGCCTTCGATCCCAATGTGGGCTGAATGAATTCACTCAAGCATAGTGCGTCTGAGGGTTGAAGGGATCACGGCTTGATTTCCACAGGATATTATCCCATCTTGTTCACTTAGTTCATCTCGGAAATGAAAATAATGAACTGCTTCTTCGGGGACTTCATGCTTGTCTGATGGCCAGCCAACTGCTATAACTTTATTGAGGGTCTGCAGGTTGGGGTCATTTTTCATGTGAACACTGACGTCTTCTAAATGAGCTGCACTGATTGGAAGGCATGAGCCATACTGATACTTTCCAACCCTAACTCAAACGGTGTGACTTCCTTCTGTATATAAGCTCTGCTCAGGGTGTCAGCCAATTCCATTTAGGTTCCTTTGCGGTGCACCAGCTGGACATCGTACTTTGCATTCTCAGTAACATACGCTAAAGGCGCTTTGGAGCCTTAAACAACGACTTCTTCACAATGGACTCTGGTGGCTTGTGGTCTGAGTGTACTATGACCAGTCGTCCGAAGGTGCATTGGTGAAATTTCTCTAGGCCATATATCACAGCCAACAGCTCTTTCTCAATTGAGCATAATTTCTCTCACACTTAATCAATGTGCGACTAGCAAACGCAATGGGTTGTCCCTTCTGGAGAAGGGCAGCTGCCAGCCCTGGTTGGAAGCATCTACTGCAAAATCAGATCTTCTCGTGGATCGTAGTACTTCAGTACTGCTGCTTTGGTTACCAATTGCTTGATACGATTCACAACTGTTTCATGCACAGAAGTTCATGACCACTCGGCATCTTTGACTGTCAGCTTCCGGAGTAGTTCTCATTCTGCGCTTAGTTTAGGCAGGAATTTACCGAGGTAATTGGTGAAGCCGATAAACCGTTGGACCCCAGCAACATCTGTGGGAGTTGGCATCTTCAGCACAGCTCTTAGCTTCTCTGGGTGGGCTTTCAGGCCTTCGTTGCTGATGACATGTCCCATAAAAGGAAATTCTTTCCGGTGTAACTGTGCCTTTTCTTTGTTTAGCTTTATATTGTGCTCATGGCATCTCTTCATGAAGGCATGCACTTTTGCGTCATGGTCTCACATTGCTTCTTCCGTTTCTCCTTCTCCATAAACAAGATGTCATCATAGGATGTCATCGAAGATTGAAAGCACAAGTGGAAGTCCCTCCACTGCTTGATGCTGACATCTTGTTTTTGTTTTGTTTTTGTTTTATCAACTTTATTGGTCTGAGTCTCTCTAAATAGATAGTTACAGTAACAAAAAAAAAAGACCAAGGTAAGGTGCAAACGGGACCTGGCGTCCCATACAGGGCACCTCCCAACTAAATCAGTAAAAATCTTAAGAAATGCTTATTTTACTATTGTTGCCAGTGGCACCCACAATTACATGCAAGGCACCATGAACATGGTTTATCGGGGTCAAAGACATTTCCTAATTCATCTTTGTACAAGTTAGTTATACTATTCTTAAAAGTCTTTATGTTATGTTTAGAAAGTCACTGGCCTGAATTAATTTACATATTTGGTTCCATAATTTAATGCTGTGATTGAAAAAGGAGGACTGATAGGTAGCTGATTTACAGAAGCGCGTTTCCAAATACTTTATATCACTTGATTGAGATCATCGAGTATGGCCTTGACTAACACTCTTAATAAAACTAATATCAATATCAATATAGCCATATAAGGCCTTATAAAGAAATACTAAATCCTTGACATTGCGGTCATAGGTAAGCGGTAGCAGATCCAGATGGATCAGTCTCTCTTTGTAGGACAGTTCACCTTGCTTAATTTGTAGAATCCAGCATGTAGCTCTTCTCTGAACTCTTTCAGCTTTCTGCTTTAAAGTTGAGTGGCTGGGAGACCACACTTCAGTTACATAGCTCATTTGGGACTTCACTAGTGCCAGGTACAGGGATCTTGTAACCTTGAGGTCGGTCAGCATGGGACAGGTACGACGAAGAAGCCCGAGTAGCTTATTCGCTTTAGCAGTAACCATGAGAACTTGAGTTTCCCATGTTAATCTGCTTGTTATCATGACACCGAGATCTTTCTCCTTATTCACGCGTTGAAGGTCAAGGTGGCCAAGGTGGTAGTCATAGCGCACTGGATTTTTCTTTTGCGTCACTGTTCAGACCTTGCACTTTGATGCGCTGAAATTAATATTATTGTGAAGACTCCAGGAATCCAGGTTTGTTAGGCTTGCTGCAATTTATCTGCATCATTGTAGATATGATAAGCAATTTCTAAACAGCTTGAATTGGTTTTGTTTGCATAAAGGGCTGTCAGAGTGCCATCAGGCTAGGCACTTGGCATGTGGTTGATAAAGGTGATGAAGAGTACTGGACCAAGCCGACTTCCTTGAGGCGCTCCGGAGGTTGTAGGGGCCCAACTGGAGGTAAATCCATCTACAATTACTCTTTGCTGACAGTCCTCCAGATAGTTCTTGAACTAGTCATGTAAATGTCCAGCTACTCCATATTTCTCAAGCTTCTCAAGGAGGATGGCGAGGTCCACAGAATCAAATGCTTTGGCAAAGTCCAGATACAGAATATCTGTTTGAATGTTGTTATTGGGGTTTTTTCCAATGGAATGTAGGACTGACAGTAATAATTTCTCCTTTGTCTTTGGAAGACTTCCAGCACAGAAGACAGCCTGAATGGCAAGTGAAGCCATCTGTATCTCCAAAAAGGCGTGTCGAAGGTTGTGAGTTTTGAACTTGCTTCAACCAGTTGGATGTGCCAGAATCCATTTTTTATGTCAAAGGTACTGAAGACTTTTGCTTTGGTCAGTTGCGGGAGTAACTCTTCCATCATAGGCAATGGGTAGTGGCTGCGTTTCACTACTCTGTTTAGGTCCTTTGGGTCTAGGCAGATTCGCAGTTGGCCATTAGGCTTTTTGACTGTCACCATACTAGAAACCCATGGGGTAGGCCCAGTTATTGATGCTATTATCTCCATTTCTTGCAGCTTCCTGAGCTCATCCTTCAGTAAGGACTTTTTTGCACTTAAAAGTGCAAAAGGGACCCTTCTAGGTGGGTGAACAACTGGTACACCTCCCTCCTCTATCCAAGTGGTATTTTTCATCCATCTCGCCAGTGCCATTGAATATGTCCAGATACTGTTGCAGCAGTGTATCTTTGGTTAAGAATGCACGGTTTTCCTCCTACTGCTAAAATGTTTTCGTGTTTCACGTGGACTTCCATCTGCTGACTGGATGGACTACCCAGGTGTGGGGGGCAATGATTATTAGCTATGACTACGAACTCTGTTTTATAGGACTTGTTATTCTTTGGATTCATCACTGTAACTGTACAGCGGCCTGTGGGCGTCACTGTAGACTTGTTGTACATTGTGATAACTCAAGTAGTTGTTTGAAGTTCGCATTTGCCCAGACATTTGTCAAGGAGGCCTTGTGTAATGATATTACATGTCGCTCCACTATCTATCTGAAATTTGACGGGCTTTTCCCCAAGAATGCATCATGGCAAACAATTTTCGTGGGTATTGTTGTGCTGTTACAGCATTCGTTTGCAGCTCGGGTGTCAGTGCGAGCACATTTAGGTCATCATAATCGCTTTCAACATCGCTGTACTCTGCGTGTCCTGTCTGAAGTTGACAAACACTCTCCTTCTTGGGCCTTGAGAGACAGACAGCTGCAAAGTGATTTATTTTGTTGCAGTTTGAACATTTTGCCATACGCCGGACAGTTTCCCAGTTCGTGACAATCCCTGCGGTATTTGCATGCGTTTCTTTCAAAGGTCTGTGGCTGTTTGTTTTGCCTTTGCCTGCCTGTAACATTTGATCCCCTCTTGCGATTGCTATAATGGAATGATCTATTATTCTTTAAACTATGAATAGATTCATTTGTTTCAATGGCTTTCTTTTGTTCTTTTGAGAGCTCAGCGGCCCGACAGATCTGTATACGTTTAGCTAAGTCTAGGTTTTTTCCCTTCCATGGTTCCTCCCTCAAATGTGAGTCTAATATGCCACATATTATGCAGTCACGCAAGTGTGAATCATGGAGGTCTCAAAATTACATGTCGCTGCCAAGATTTGCAATTCTGTAATGAACTTTTCAAAGGACTCTCCCTGTTCCTGAAACCGTGTAAAAAATTATATCTCTCTACTGTCTCACTTTCCTTTGGATCGCATCGCTTATCAAAGGCTTTAATAACTTAAGCAAGGGTTCGATCGCTGGGCGCAGTGGCAAAAGGTAAGGTTTCATAGACTTCACAGCCCCCTGTCCCAGTGAGATAAAGGAACAGTTTTACCTTCGTGTCTTCAGGCTTACCAGCCATGGCGAGATCCATGTATTAGGTGATTTCTTCTTTCCATCTTTTCCATGCAACCTAAGGGGAAGATCGTCAGCTTCAAAATCTAGCTTTTCAGGCGCATGTAGCTGTCCAACACATGCGTAGCTCGCTGTTGATGCTTCTGCTTGTGTCTCTCTGGGATCTGGTATGTTGACAGTAAATTCGATTTCCTGACTTGCTTCTCAACTCGATGTATTGCTTGGGTTACTTATCTCCTGACACCATAATTAACGATTCATTTAAATCAAGCTTGACATTCAATCAACAACGTCATTCTAATCCCACTTCTCATGTCTAAGGATTCATTTTAATCACAATTTCATGAGAATTCTGTGTACAGATCTCTGCATTTCAAGCATACAAGCACAGGGTACGCGCAACGCAATAGTCTCTGATTGTCCAATTACATACTCAAATGTCAAACAGCATGTTGTTACTTGAGAACATGCAACAGTATATTGTCACAAGAAATAAGGAAGTGATTAATTCTACACAAAACAGGATTTCCTTGCTTAAAATTTGTCACGTCCTACTTTATCGAAGTTCAAGTTTTCTTCTGGATATTTACTGGATATTTATTTCTTCTTTCTTCTGGATATTTACTTTTTATATCATATTTGACAGTTTGTTTCTGAATTAATTGAGTACGGGTGTATAAATACGTGAATTCAGGGCATCGATTCCACAGAAATTACATTACTGCCAGAGAGCAAAAACATGATGAACATGGTGCATAATTTCAGTCATCGACTTAGTTGGGTACAATGAAAGTTTACAACACCTGACCAGTTTACTTTGCTCATTAAGATTCTTCATTTTTTTGGCCACTGAAGTCTTTACCTGTTTCAAAGTGATCACTGCTTTCAAGCAATAGGGTTTGTGGACCGACCCTTTCCGGAAAAGCTCAACATCTTTCACATTAACCTTTCCTAAGCTTTGTTCACAAATTATACAAATGCGCTCTGAATATGTTGTCGGTCACAATTCTTATCCCCAGTTCCCATGGCCTCTGCTAGGAATGCCTGGGACCATGATCCTCTTTTGGTGGCACACACAAGAAAAAAACTTGCATTTCAGAGTCTTACTACTAAAGCAAGCTTGACTAATAAATTATTATTATTATACTGGGATACCAAACATGACAAAATCAAACATAGCCTGTAGCAGTCACTAATCCATGTACAACTTAATCATAGACACAAGGGTCTTTTATCCTGCGTAATAGAATAAAAAATGTTCGTACGATATTTTTAATAAGAATTGTTTACTTTTTTCCAGGCAAGTCATCATTTGAGCATGGCATTGTTAATCATGCCTTGTGTGCAGCAATGAAGACATTACTCAAGGTTAGAATGCTGATTTTTATCACTAACATGACCATGTTAGTTCCAAGGCTGATTTTGAATGTTATATATACTAGTACCCTACAGGCACCATAAAAGATTGTGAGGGAGTTTATACTCAAGGGGCAAAAAGTAAGGCCTTAAGACAAAAGAAGCACTCCACTTTTCTCAACACTCCAGTTGCACTGCAGCAATTTTCTACCCATGTAGATAGTAAATACTGTTACATATTAATAATTTCTGTAAATTTGACAAGTATTGTATTGTTTTGTGTTTATTTTTGCTATAATAAATAACATTAAATAAAAGAAATTTTTTTTACCCATGGGCAATTGTCACTCAAGAGCTAGGCTATCAAGAAGAGGGAGTCCTCATAGTCTTTATTATAAGACTAAGTAACCTTCTTGCTGTCAGCTTTAATTAGATCTAACCAAATTACAATAAGCAAAGAACAAATGATTTAAAAGAGTAGATAGGATTGTGAAATTGAATAGAATATTTAATTTTATTGTCTACGTCATGTAGCTTAAAATGGGTCATCATTGCCGGTCATAATGATACTGTTCCATTGACCAAAGACACCAAAGAGTTCAAATATGAAGGAGGAGTCATATTTTACATGTACAGTTCGATGTAAAATTAAAGTAAACATGTCCATTGGCACTCGACCTTACAATGTCGAAAATGACAGAAAGTAACCTAAAACAGCAACAAAATTGACTGTACACTTGCTTCTATGACAGCCTCCGTATTTAGACAAAACAGTTCATATTTTGTACAGTCTGGTTTTCCGGTTAACAACTTCTGGTTATCAACAATCAGGTTAGCAGCTGGTCAGCTTAAATGAGTCTAAGAACTGAACCCAACGCTCTCTGCATGACTTTAAATAGCGCAGCTTGCATAAACAAAAGTACATGCATCATTTCAAATTTAAACAAAGCCCGTGTAACATAAACTGGAACAAAGTGGCTTGGCGCACAATTGACTCAAATAGTTGAACAGACTGTTCAGTAGAACAGATACCTTTTTTTGTGTTAGTGAGCTTTCATTGATTTTGCTCATTCTGTAATGATTTTGTTTTGTTTTGAAAGGAATATCTCATTCTTGTTGCACAACTGGAGCATCAATTTAGACTAGTAAGTGATATGGTAGCAATAGTCCAGTTTCGAATTTGTCGCGGCCGCTGAATAGAAGCACAGAAGACTCATTAGTACAGGGTTAGCGCTATCAACCTAAAGTAAAATATTCACAAATACCAGCGAGAAGGTGCCTGAATTTGAGTTAAAAACAATAGACACAGTTGTACACAGGTCTTCTTCTCACTAGAATTTGTAAATAATTAATTTTATTTACCCTTAGGTCAAGGCTATAACTATGTATAAATGAGTCTTCAGTGTTTCTATTCAGTGGCCGCGACAAACTCGCAACTGGACTATCATGTCATGCAAAGCATAACATAATTAAAGACTAGGGCATGGTAAATCAAAGCATGAAGGAGAATGGCAGATGGACTAAAAGTGTACTGAGAAATTGTGCTAAATACAAATGGAGTTTTAATTAATGGTTTTAGATTTCTGTTAGTGGTAATATGATTATTCAAGGAGATACAGTCAATTCTAAGTTTCTAAAATGTATATCAGTGGGACTGGCACTTAGTGTTCTTGGAGATGTTTCTTCCTTATGGAGAGTTAATACAGTTTAAGCCCCCAATATCCACATACAAATTCTCCAGACTGGTCTACAGCTGTACATACATTTCTTGAAAAATTAGTCGAGAGAGGTTGATAAAAGCTCAAAGAAATTTCCCTTAAGTGAAAACTCTTAATTCTCATAATTTTTTTCTTGATTATGTATTGATATAATATTGTTAGACGAAAAACGTGTTTTACTTTCTTGGGACTCAATCTAGGAGTCCGTTTTTGGAAGTTGTCCATCTGCTCTTAATCCTCTTATGAAGATGTTCCTAATGAGAGAGTTCACTGTATACCAGGGTCCCCAATGATGATTTCCTCCTAAATACACTGAAAACACTTTTTAGGCTTTCCAAAGTACTTTTACATCCTAAGCGGTGCTATAAAATTTGTATCTGTTCGGTCATCCTAGGGGAATTTGAGTCTTTTCGAAATTACAAGGGCTTCAGGTTTTCCCTATTCCCTATTGTTGACACGGTGAACAGTGAAAAACAATGAAATCATTTCATGTTAAATAGGAAAACTGACTGCTGCACTGGATAGAAGCCCAGCGTAATGTATCAACACCAGTCCCCATTTATTTATACAAATACAAACACAATGTAATAAAGATGATATCGTGTCTGCTGCCTAAAATAGCCTAAGTTGGGGACTGAAATGTTAAAAATTAATAAGCGTCGTAAATTGTACGTGGATGGAATGGTCATCTAGAAATTTTTACCATCCTCAAGTAATAGAAAATTCTAGGCAATATTTGCTTCTCCGAACATATATTTTTTCAGAATTGGGTGCCCCTGTGTATATGGCCACTAGAAAGTGCAAAATTTCATTTGCTTGGATTTAGGACAATTATTAAAAGTTTTTGTCTGTTTATAAAGCAGCTTCTTCTGTCTTTACCCTTCTGTAGGGGCAGCTGTCACTACAAAAGTTGTGGTTTTACATCCAACCTTGCATGAGAACTATGGAGATTCTCTCATCCATTGCAGTGGCAATTGATAAGGTACAGTATTATAAGACTTTAAACCTGGTAGCGTGGCCAAGAAGAACCAGTTAGGGAAAATCCGTGGACACCACTGGTAAAAGTGCCTTAAAATAAGTAAACTTGTCTAGTTTGAAAGTGATACGTCTTATTACTGAGCGATGATGTAGCTCCGCAAAATTGCAAAAATTTTCAGGTGATTATATGGTGGGGGGGGGGGGGGGCAAGTTTGGCCCCCATGCCAAAAAAAGGTCTGAAAAATTTGGCGACTTTGAGGAGTTATTTTTTCGTTCTTTTTCAAAAAAACCTTTTCAAAATTAGCAGTTTTCCTATTTTAGTTATTGGTTTTTCCTAAACTTTCCAATTTCAAAAATTAAAAAAATTGTAAAATAAAATCGCGTGACCACACGGGGAAAAGGGCCTTAAAAAAAAGAAACTTTTTTAGTGTAAAAGTAGTATGTTTCTTTTCTGAGGGTGGGTGGGGCCCCCAAAAAGCGGAAAAATTTTGGGGTGTTTTTTGGGGGGGGGGGGGGGGGGGCAAGTTTGTGCCCCATGTCATACAAACGTCTGTAAAATTTGGCGACTTTGAGGAGCTATATTTTCGTTCCTTTTCAACAAAACACTTTCAAAATTAGCAGTTTTACTAATTTAGTTAATGGATTTTCCCTAACTTGTCAATGTCAAAAATTGAAAAAACTGTGAAAGATCTATTCCCACCCCCTTACTGTATTAAGAAGTAAGTGTAAAAGACCACTAACAAAACCAATAATAATTTATTTATTTGTACAAATAGTTTGCAATTATTTCACCCACATAATAATCAAGACTATTCGGGGTGGGTGACTTTACAATAAAGGTCAGTTATAGTAAAACAAAAGCAGAGAAAGAAAAACAAAATGAATAAAGAGAAAAGCTAACAAGGTAACAAGTAAAATAATATTAGTATAAAGTGTATACCGTAACTAATACCGAAGAAAGATTTATTATTGATAGCATAGTTAGCACAGTGGAATGGTTATAAAGTGCGTCAGACTCCTTTGTTATAAGTTTTTGTAAACCTGATGGTGCACAATGTTCAATTCCCCATTCCAGAAACTTTAAGGGAAATGGGTACAAGCTTTCGGCTCAACCATTTCTGGGACCATTTGGGTGGACAGGCAATAGTTATGATTGGTCGATGGTACTCAAGGCAACCATTAACTAATCACAAGTAACGCTTGTCCAACCAAACAATTCCAGAAGTCGTTGCGCCAAAAGCTTGTACCCATTTCCCTTATACATGTTGTTCCTGGAGTGGGGAACAGCAAACCTTTCATTTTGGTCTTATTGACCAATAAAAACATTGCATTAATTTATTAAGTCTCTATTTGTGAACACAAAATAAAGGATTGTACACATCACGGAGCATCCAACATAAACTGCAGCATCGTTGTTTTTGTCTTTGATGTTTGCCACCTTTCTTAACAAGTCCCTTTTACTAACCATGGTGAAAGAAACTATAAATCGTAAGAAACGAGAAAACTTTAACTGATTAAAGAGTTAAGGTACAAAATAGTAATTAAATAGAGCTTATATCAACATGTATCCCTCCACAGTCTCCAAAACCTCCAGCACTAATTTGTGTAATCCACTTTTTGTTTTTGTGGATTCATTTTTATTGCCCAGTATCACTGGCTCGACCTTCCCTATTCTACAGTCACATCTGAGTGTCAAATCAGTTGATGCTAGACTAGTGTAATTCACAATTTTTCTTAATTGTATATTCATCAAATTATCTTCTCAGGGAAGCTGCAAAGGAGGAGCTGTGCTAACATTATTGCATGAAAAAACTGTTGGATATACAGGGTAAGAATTTTTTCTTTCCTCGTTCTAATTTGTAACACACCGTTCAAATACAGGATTTAATTGAACTTCATATGTACCTTTTACAGGGACAGCAAATCCCAGGATCTGTGCTTGTTCCTCACTCAAGCTGTGAGTAGTACAAGTTTTTATGGATCAATTTAGGTTTCTGGGAAACTGCTCACCTACCCCTCCCCTAAGCCAACATTATCACTTACCTCTCACTTAGGGCAAATGTTGGCTTAGGGGAGGGGTAGGTGGGCTGTTTCCAAGAATCCTAAATTGATCCGTTTTTATTTGCATCTTTTACCTGATAAAGGCCATTTGATAGTGTTAACCCTACTCTCCTGATAGAGGCCAGAACAAATCACCAAAAATTTAAATTTCTTTTGAGAATAAAAAGTACAATGCAAAAGTTCTGCCACAGAGGTTTGGTTTGAATGGTAACACCATAGAATTTTATCCACAGATTCAAAAGTTAGAATCATGACTAATAATCTCGCCATATCATTGTATTGTGAAAGAGCTAAGTAGTAACTAATCACCTGGCTCCAGTTGTTCGACAGGTGAATAGCGCCATCCACTAGATAAATAGCTATCCAGTGGATAACGCAATTGGTTTGCGTACTGCTTATCTGCTGGATAGCGGTGGTAGCACTATCTAACTTTTGAACAACCGGGCTTCTTAGAAAGAGTAGCCTGCACAGCTGATTTTATCCGTGGGAGGCATTTGGGGCATGTGGAACCAAAAAGAATCCTGGAGTAAACAGACAAACGGGCAGGCAAAACAGTTAACCCTTTCACTCCCAAGAGTGGTGAAAGTCAGCATTCAACAAAATTTCCAAATTTTATTCTGTAAAATTTAGTCAAAAAAATGGTACAGTGTGAAAGTGCTGTTAAAGTGGTTTTATTTGAATGGTCACACCCTCGGATTTCGTCCACAGATTTAAAAGTTAGAGTGACAACTGAGTTGGTATAACTAGTTCTAGGCGTGAAAGGGTTAAGGAGTCTCCTTTCCCCTCCTCCTGCCCCCCTGTCTTATGGATGACAGGGTTACGGAATCTTCTTTTCCCCTCCTCTTGCCCCCCCCCCCTGTCTTATGGGTGACAGGGTTACGGAATCTTCTTTTCCTCTTCCTCCTACCCCCTGTCTTATGCCCACCCCACTGATCACACATTCTGGTCTCTTCAATTCTCTGAACACAGGCGGATCATCCAAACTGTTCGAGGCATGGTGATGTCACTTGCGACATGTGATCGCGTACATTAACTGCATTTTTTAACGGCCGCTCCCGGCTCTGTTTTATTAAGCATTTCTCCTGATCACTTGAATCAAGCCGAGAGCGAAGATCACGTGTTGCGCGTGACATCACGATGCCTCGAACAGTTTGAATGGTCCGCCTGTGCTCTGACATCCACTCAGGGAATACTGACACTCACTTTCCGAAAAAAAAAAAAAAGACCACACTGCAGTATACAGCAATTGTACAATCCCCAATTTTTGTATCGTTACTGAAATTATTTTCTTAACCAAGAACTTACTTTTGTGTATGTGTACATTGTTTACGCAGTTACCTTAATGTCTTATTACAGGCATGTGTTCCTTACTTTGATATCCTTGAGCAGTGGATTTACAAAGGAATTATCAGTGATCCATATTCTGAGGTGAGAATTTTTGGAAAATGCTGTTTCTTTTTAACCACATGTTTTTGTGTAATTACTTTTTCTTGTCCTTTCAGTTCCTGGTTGCAGAGCACGGCTCTGTTCAAAAAGAGAAGCTCACTGAAGATTACAATGATGCATATCCTTTGATATTCCTCTCTTTCTTATGGATAGACAATAGTCTCCGTTTATATGGAAAAAAGTTGTCCGTGGAAAGAGAGTCACCCTCCCAGCTCGGTCAGCTTAAGAGAGAGCTTATATGAGATAAAGTTGACCCCTTTGCCTGAACCAAGAGCTTACAACATCGCTCGCGCATGCTCTGATTGTCTCTCCTTGACCGAGCTGACCCGGCTGGGCGAGCTAAAGTGTTTATATGGAGAAAAGTTGGCCTGGCTAAGAGAGGGGCCCTACCATTGAAAAGTGTGACCCTGCTTGGCGGGTTACCCGTTTAGCCGAGCTGATGTAAATGGTTTACCAAATTTTGCAAGGAAATGTAGGAAAAGTTGGCTCGCCCAGGGTAGCTCAGGACAAGTTTTCTTTATATAGACGTGGCGTAAGTCTTATTACTACAGTATTAAACAGAATTCTTTTTCTTGACTTTTGTTACATATTGGGAACAACGATATACAGTTGTCAGAGAAAACATTCCTATTTTCTTGGAAAAGGTAAATTTTTACTATTAATCCAAACAAATATTCCTGTTAACCCGGTTCATTTTGTGTGTACCTTTCAATTGTAGTAGAGGAGGAAAAAGAACATGCTCCTTCATACTGGGATAACCATACAATAGCTGCCTTGTTAGCCTGTCACCAAATTCGATCATCCTGAAAGTGTGTTCAAACCATCTCATTCAATTCAGGAGAGAGTAGAATAAGCCTGCTAAAGGTGCCTTTAGATGCCTAGTTGTTATCCTGTTTCCTTTAGCTTTATTTCCATATAATCGTCCGGATCATCATATTTCGATCGCTTGAGTCGTCTTAAACTGTGCTAAGACAATCCACGCAACTAGCTATAGACTGTTAAAACGATTATAAGAAATCACCTCAAATGTAATGAGAAACGATGCAGGCGACTGGGGGGGATCGCAATCGCCTGTATGAACTGAAGTTTGTATGTAGGCTGGTCTCACTACATTCGTCCCAGACTCGGGGCGATCGAGTCGATCATACGGAAATCCCTTTGATGTAATGCGAGACTATTGGACTCAATATGGACTCAATGCTTAAGATGCTGTCCCTCAGATGTTTCAATTCTTTATTGTTTTCCAGGTTGCCCACAAGATTCTCAGTACTGGAAAATATTTAAATGTCATTCGGCAATGTGGTAAGCTTATAAGCAGTCAACACATTTTGTTCGCTCAACTAACGAAGTGAATCACAGTGTTTAATAAAATGGCGGCACTGGCACACCTCCCTGTATTTAACTGTTATTCGGTCGTTCCCCGTTGATGACACGTGGGTGCGTCGGTGAATGAGTCAAAAAAAAATTTGAATTGATTTAATAAATTAGCCTACATGCTCCCGAAAATGAAGTACAGAGGAACAAACTGGAATGACAAATGTTAGTGATATATTATTTTATCTCGCATCGGATTCGACGGTCATTTATGTTGTGAGAAAGGACAAAATTTCAAAATTTCTTGAACATAGAACATAGTTAAATGACAATGTAGAATGCCTCTTACATGTGACTTCAGGCACTGGCGAAAGGAAATTTTTGGAACATGCCGAACAAAAGCTCTCTTAATGGATCCCTTAAAAGTAAAGGTTTTGAAACTTAAAAAATCGTTTTGAATTACAATTGTAAATAGATAAGTTCACGTCTGAGATAGTTTACCATTTACTTCAATTTTAGGTCAAAATGTGCAGTGTCCTAATGCTGACGAAATAATTTATACCCTTCATGAGAGAGAATATGTGGAAAAAATTGAAAAAGCCTACAGTTACGCAAGCAAGACCTTACTAGACCTGTTAATGGATGACCGGGCACTGATGGCTAGATTAAGGTGAGAATGAAGGACTCGTGTGAAGTTGTCGGTTTCTTTTTCTTATTATTTTGTTTCTTTCGAGAGTTTGATCCTTTAAAACGTTTTTGTGCGATAGCTGTAGAAATGTTCACGCACTTATTGGTTGCAGAGGGGAGGAGTCATTTATTTAGGGTACACATAGGTATATGCGAAAGCAAAGGTTTAGGATTGTGTAACCTTTTTTGGTCCGAATTGCGAATCAGCACAAGATTCACGAACGTTGTGATTTGAAATGTGGTAAGTTTCTAGCCACTGGCCTGGACCTGAAGGGTAGTTAAAGGGTCGATTTCCACTGTCGCGTACTTTTTACGTGCGAACGCGCGTAAATTTTACGCTCGTAAATAAAAAAGAGGCAATTTCTGAAAGGTCGCGCATAAGCGTAGAATTTAAACCTCGCTCAAATTTTACATTTACGGAATTCGCGTGACACTTCATACATCGCCCCTATTTTTGTTTCGCACATGAAATTTACGTGCATGTGTGGGCGATTGTGGAAATCCACCTTAAGAAGTAAGGACAAGTTGAACAACATTTGGACTTTTCCACATGTTGACGGACAACAGAAAGCAATCCTTAGGTTGCTCGATCATTGAACAACGTGAACGAGCTGCAACCAGGGTTCTTACGGAGTCTGGCATTATTGCAAAGTCTTGACTTCCAGACTTCGAAAAAGAGTAGGAAGTGAAGATAAAGTGTGGAAAATGGTAAATTTTTTTTAACTATAACCCTGTCATAAGGCGTAATTTGATCGTTCGGGAAATTGTAGTCTTGAAAAGGGCCTGTTGTTGACAGTGACTGACGTTTCGACAACCTGTGCGGTAGGCTTTGGTAACCTTTTTCCGTTCCTTGGCTTACCGTTGTCACGACCACGCATTCAGTCGTCTGTTTGTCTCATGACACGACGCTCCTCCGCCTCGGGTGGAGCATTGTGTGACGAGGCAAAAACGGCCGCGTAGGAGACCACCACAGGAGAGCTACTGAAGTCTCTGTGCACTCATCTACGACAACTTTGGGGTCATGTGGGGTAAAAGACTATTATGGCATTCAGCCATGAAGTCCATACCCCACCACAGATACTAAAGTGGACTTTCCACTAGGTCTATCAAGCATTACTTTCTCATGGATCTTGGAGATTTCTTTGTTCAGTTCATGGATCTAGCCGAGGATGAGATGAAGAAAAATATGGATGGTATCCTTTATGATCTTTTTGTGTTAACAAGATAACTGACTTCTTTACTTATTACTTATTTAAGTTGGTGCCTGCCGTAGTCTATAGTATAATAGACATCCAATGGGCTGTCACCAAGGGCCGGGGACCGGGGACCGGGAATTTCCCCCGGCTACTATGACCATCACCCCCAGCTATTTTTATAGGAAATAGATCCAAAACAACTTCCCAGCTGTTCTTTTCCCCACTTATGTAATTGCATATACCCCAGCAACTTGAAATAGTATTGACAGCCCTGGACCTACCAGTTTGAATGCAAACATGAGTGAACCTATGGCTTTATCCATGGTTAAGTATTGAACTAACACACGTTGTAGTTAACAATTATTTTGCTTGTGTTGAAAGAAAGTCAGAACTGGATTTTAAGTAGGATTTGTAAATAGGATTTTAAGGAATAATTAGTCATTGTTTTTAGAATTAGGATGTGTACTGGGAATATATTTTATTTTATATAAATGAAGCTTTTTAATTGGAGGATTTTGAAGAATTAGGTAATGGGCAGATGGAAATTTTTTGATTGCTATTTATGCAATACAAATCAATAACTGATAATAATATTATTATTACTATTATTTGTCTTAACTCGTAAGAAGTTGACCATCTTCTGACGCCTTGTTACGTATTGTGTGTGCTTTTTATATTATTTCATTCATGGGGCTGATTTTAATCAAATTGTCAATATTATTTATCTTAATCTAAAATTTCGCAGATATTATGCCTTCCAGACTAGAGAACTTGTTAGAGTTAGCGTTAAGAACGAGCACAGCCAATAGTGATCCGTACAAGGATGACTTGAGGTAAGTTACAGGTGCAAATTCGTGATGTAGACCTGATAAGCTAGACGTTCCCAGTCCATGAGCTTTTAATACCTTGTAGATTAGTTTTGTCAATGTGCGTTTATTGTCATTAATTTAAGTTGTTTAGAGGGAGTAATACAATGGATAGGAGGTGAAACACGCCTTCTTTATTCTTAAGAAAATAATGTTTAAAACCTTGTGACTAACTTTCTCCTAACAATACTGATACCTATGTTACGGGTCAAAATTAAATTCAGGTTAAAATTTTTTAACCTGGGTTGATTCTCAATTTCCTTTGTCTCAAAGCCCTAATTATTCATGAATTAAGATCAGGAAACAGAGAAAATTGAGAATCAACCTGAATTTAATTTTGACCGGTAACATCCACACAAGTTCAACAGAAAAGGCTATGTGTAGCAGAAAAGTGTAGACAAAATGAATCACCTTTGATCTCTATCTTTTCCTCTCAACTGATTCTTGAAGGAAATGTGTGAAAATCAGTCTAGAGAATCATTTTTATGTGGTCTGGATAATGGGGCTTATAATAGTGTTACAAAAACTGGAAACTGCATGTCGGCCTAGCTTGGGTATTTCGTGTTGGGTGGGTGAGTGGGGTTTGGGGTCAGCCGTTGCTATTGTCAATTGGAACGTCTTAGAAGATTCCTACATCACTTGTCTTTTTCTCAACCGAAATTCTAATTGAATGCCTGCCAAAAAATTCCAGTGATAATCTGGAACTGGATTATTGACCATTATTTGTTTGTTTATTTGAAGCTAAAAAAAAGAACATGCAGCTTAGGTATAATTTAGTTTTCGTCTGTTTGATTGTTTTTGTCTTGCACAGTTTGTAACATGTTTTTTTCCCTTGTTGCCTTAACAGAGTTGATTTGCTTCCCTACGATCTGATCACTCAACTGTTTCGTATTTTGTCTGTCGCCTATGACAGCAGAGGTAATATAATATGAACAACTGTACCGTAACAGAAGGTAGCAGTTATACTAGGGTTTGCTTTCCATTTATATAAGGGCGGTCTTTGTGTGGTGGTCTTCAATTGTTCACCTTGAGTGTGATGCAAGCGAAGCAGCTCAGATAAGATATAGATAAAGAAAAGTAAAGAAATAAGCCAGTTATCATCCATCGTTGAAAACTAGTTGATAAGTAGACAGAGATGTCTGCATGGAATTACATTTACTGTAAACTGGCGTCAAATTCAACTTGACAATTTAAAAAGTTAGAAAATGAGCAGGTAAAAACCGTCTAAAATAACTGTTCTGGACACAGACGCGAAACTACTTACTCTTGTTTGGATGTAATAATCTGTAACCGACAAGCTAGAGAAAAATTGGTCATGTGTTACAAATTGACTTTTGCTGTTTGCCAAAAACTTGACTGCTTTACTCTCCGAAAACTTAGCAGTTATTATATGAAGCTTAATATGATTTGAAGAATTATGCAGATCGAGGCCTTGACACCACCCTTCTCGGTTGCCGTACATTTTTTTGGCTATACCCTGTGCTATTTACGTCATATTACCGGATATCCCAAATGTCTTCCAAATTTTGTCAACGCCAGCCGGAATTAGCTGCGGGGTTTGAACCAGTCAGAAAGGGAGAAATACTTTGAATGAATAATATTAAACATTATAAGCACCATTTAACAGTTGAGCTTGAAGTAACAACGTATTTTTCAGGTGCAACATCTTATAATCAAGATCCTACTGAACTCCAGATCTCAGGTTAGATGTCGATATTTTGTTATCTGTTCAACACCTTGTAATGATATGTCTACTGGACGGGTGGAACGCTGTTTCTGCAACAGTTGTTGATGAAACTAATTATCACACTGATGTATGTAGGACTTGAAGCATTTTCATTCGATTACGTGGTGAAGTGGCCTGTATCATTAATTTTAAGTAAGAAGGTGAGAATTTCATACTTTTTACTTTGACAGTGAAATCTGTAATTTGACTTACTCCCTCCATATCGAGCGAGTCGGAGTCGTAATCAGAAGGGTAGAACTTTACGATCTAGTGAATACAGCGTTCTGATTCCGCTTACGACTCTGTCGCTTACGATCTGGTGAAAACTGGGTTGTCGGAGTCACAAGCAGAAGCGGAAGAACTAAACCAATCACAAAGCGTGGGAACGTACATATTGTGATTGGTTTATTCTTCCGACTCCCGCAATCTGGTTCTCACTAGATCGTGAACGACAGAAACATAAGCGGAGTCTGAAGAAGATGGAAACCTTCTGATTCTGCCGACTCCGATTCCATCGCGCTTATGACTCCGCTTACCAATCCGATTTTTGATTTTCACTGAGTCATAAGCGCTCTTACGACTCCGCTTACAACTCCGACTCCGTCGCTAGTGAAAACCTGCCTTAATAATGTTATGTTTTTTTTCTTCTTCTTCTTCTTCTTTCAAGGCCTTAACTAAGTACCAGATGTTGTTTAGGCATTTGTTCTATGCCAGACACGTAGAAAGACAATTGTGCAAGTAAGTTAACCATGGAGAACTAGCATAATATGTTTCGCAAAATGTCATTTTGAAAACAAGTAAGCTAGTAAGATGTGCATGGGCACTGAGACTTGGTCAAGGGTGCGTGGAGGTCAATGTAGCCAAACGGTAGCATGCAAAAAACACTTAGCGGTCTTACAGAGTTACTCCCAGCGGTATGTAATTACTTATACATGAGGGTAGCGAGAGACAAAGTGCAGCAAAGTCTCTTGTGTAAGGAAACATCGGATGGCAGAGGGAAGAGAGCCCGTCACTTTTGAGTACTTTAGTATGGCTTGAACGAGAACACAATATGTACCTTTTCCATGGCATTAGGTATGTTGAAGCCTTTAAAATTATAAAATATAGATGTTCTTAAGGTTTCACTAAGATTCTCCCTTTTACCTAATACGGCGTTCTTCCTGGCCTTCACGGGTATGACATTTCGGTAGCATAATAGCCTGCAAGTAAGCTCTCCGGGGCGCTCTGGCGATGGGGCGGGAAAAGGAAAGAGAGCTTGAAACTACGTCTCTGGAATTTGAATATCTGCATCGAAAAAGTCGATGCAAAACGCTGATTGGCGGAGGCGTCATTACCCTTGGCACGTGTTTTTCAATGTCTGTTTGCATTCGCGCTCGTTTCCTCTTCGTGCTGATTAGCGAAAATCTGAGAGTTCAAATGACGGTTAGCCACAGGGGAATTGGAGATGGAATTCAAATTTCAGAGACCTAATTGCAAGCTCTTCTTTCCTTTCCCACCCTGCCGCCAGAGCGTCCCGGAGAGCTTGTTCGCAGGCTAGTAGCATAACTGAGACGAGCGCTCGGTCAAGGGCAATTACGCTGGGATCACTGGGCTGCGCTCGGAAGGTCCATCATTGTTAATTGACTGTTCAGGGACAGAACCAACAGGCATCGCTACTGAATGCAGAAAGTGTGTTTTCCTTTGCAACAGAACGTAGGGGTTGCATTCCTTTGATATTTAATTGTGAATTAAAAAGCCTAAATATTCTTTGGCTTTGTATTTTTCCTTCTTTCCAGTGTCTGGGTCAGCAACAAGCGAGCAAAGCAGTTCACTCTGAACTCTTCCCATTGGTAAGATTTATGGACTATTTTATGAAATTACAACAGAATGCCGGAAGGGATCAATCAAGGTTTTCTGGAAAACTGCCCACCTACCCCTCCCCTGAGTCAACATAAACACTGACTTCTCACTTAAGGCAAAATTGTGACTTAGGGGAGGGGTAGGTGGTCAGTTACCCAGAAGCCTAAATTGATCCAAAATGCCCACCCTCACTGTCAGCCAATGTTTTACAAACTATCATCCCCGGAAAGTAGAAAATGAATTGATTTTTGTTATTGGATTCAAGTATTCGGTTAGTAAACATGAGATTCTGACGAGTTTCAAAAAAGTACCATTTGGCTTCTTCTTTTCATTGGTGGACCAGAATAGAGTGGAGATCGTGCGTCAGGACCGAGAAACATAAAAGAGTCTAAGAATGGATGTTCTAAGAATAGATGTCTTGAAACCTCAGTTGTCTTATTGCTACCTGAATCTTGTGATACTGACTGTATTGTGCGTGACCTCAGGTATGCTGCAGCGTTCGCCCTGCGTCAGAGGATGTTGCACTTCGTACAAACCTATGAGCATTACATGATGTTTGAAGTCCTGGAACCCAGCTGGCATTTAATGGAAAAAAGTCTGAAAACGGTGAGATCGGTGACTTTATCTCCGAGTGCTGAATAGAATTAACCACCTCTCAAGTATCATTTTTCACGCACAAACTTCCTCTTACTGGCTTAAGCTTGTCATGAGCCAATAAACCAGAGTGAGCAATTCCCATACTAGACCTATGTCACGGCGTTTTCACCTCCTGGTTTATTCTTAGATACATCGTAGAGCTCTCCTTAAGATGGAGACCCCGCCCCGTCTATGAGCGCATTCGAAGTATACGATATCAAGAAGGAAAACAAACCTTCATTAAAAGGTTAAAATACTATTTTTGGGTCTCTGGGGTTCGCTGACAGTTTTGTTCTAAAAATTAACTGGTCACTGAAAACGCCGTGACACGAGTACATGGAAGATGCTCGCTCCGGGCCATTGGCTCCTGGCTTGTTTGGAATGGTAAGTTTCATTGTTCATAAATGAATTGCTTACCGAAGGTGGTTGAGGAAGGTCTAATTTGGTAAAAGCCGAGAGGTTCGACGAATCCGGCGATTTGTCCAGTTTAATGTTTCATTTCCTTCACAGGTAACAAACATCGATGGCGTCCTGGAGAATCATAATGACTTCTTGGACCGCTGTCTTAAAGACTGCATGCTCACAAACCCCGAGTTACTAAAGGTGAAGTAAGCTAACACTAACAGTTACTTCTCACTTAGGGCAAAATGTTGGCTTAGGGGAGGGGTAGGTGGGCAGTTTCCCAGAAACCTAAATCGAACCAGTCCATCTTATGAAGGTATCCTGCTTACGGAGTGGCCAGGGGATGGCAAGGACCAGCTAAAGGTGGTGTCCGTCTTATAGGGGTGTACTTTAAGAGAAATGTAACTACTTAACGATCTGAGAACAACGTCTTCAATGTTTCTATATGCAGTCAGGCAATCACCATAATTGGCTAAAGGGGAGTACATAAAGGGTTTGACAAGCGGCAATTTCAACAGTTTCCTCGGGTTCAGGGTTGGTTGCACACACTAGTGGTTACTGGAATCAAAGAAAGATCTGTGTAAATCATCCTTTGATGATCGAGGTCGGTCGCAGCAATCCCTTCTTATGCTTCCTAGTGAATATATGTCAAAATCACCCATGGTGTATGCGTTTTCCTTCCCGTATGCTGCCTTTTTTGAGAGTCTTGTTTGATTGACATAACTAAATAACAGAAAGCACGTGACGAGAGGAGAATAGCTTCACTAATCTATTCGCGTTGCTTGTTTGCGTTCGCACGAATTTCCGACCTTTCGCTTAGTCACTCGAAAATTTTCTCTTCGGTACATTTCCTCCTTTTTGCCGTTTTCACGAAATGTCATTGCAGGGTGATGCCAAGCACAGTGTCATGAATAACTGGGGGCTTAAATGTACCTGACCTACGTTAACGCAAATCGTGATAATTGTTTTAGGTTGTGAGTAAATTGATGCTGGTGTGTGTAACATTCACAAATTGTATGCAGGTGAGTTTGATTTCTATTTATTTATTTCGATTTATTTTAGATTTAGATTTAGAACACTTTGACCACTTAACACAACAGATATGGGCTTCAACTTACGTGTTACCTAAAGTTAGCTATTAGTTAGGCGTGGTCACTACCAGAGATTGTTACGTCCCTAGTGCTTCTTTCACGTCCCACAAGAGTGCTGTGAGACGAGGTCTGTGAAACTGTGAGTTAAAACGCGGGACGATTATGTTATTACTCTGAAGTTGTACGCAGTGCAAGGTTTATTTGCCTCCTCCAATACTTGTTTATTCTCGTGTGAACAGTCGTAAAAGAATAAACAGACCCGTGTGGACACAGTGCGGCAGTTTCTGAACATGTGTCGCCATTTCTTTATTTCAGCGGTTCACTCAAAGTGCCAGTGTAGAATCACAGGAGACCGATGCCCCTGGTGTGAGTCCAATGAACAAGAGAGGTCCCCCACCAGGAGAACAGGAGAAAAAGAAAACTACTTTCAAGGTTCACCGTCGTTCGTCTGTCTTAGTTTTTTATTTTTGTATGCGTTTGTTTGTTTGTTTGCTTGGTTTGGGTGTCAACAGTTCAAGTAGAGGTCGGAAATTACACTGTGCAGGTCCTTGACCAAGAAACTTTGCTAAGAGATTTATCTAAATATCGTGCAAATTCATACGTCCTCAGTTCGTCAGCTTTTTTGCCTGACAAGGATCTGTCTCAGACTTCCGAAAGTTCCACTGCGAGGTCATGTTTCCTATTTAAGGTTAAGATTCTTACTTTAGAATTCGTTTCACTGTGCTTGCCGATCCAGTAAGAACTTTCACAGTCCCTTATTTTCTCGTGCGATTCTCGTGTTCGATCGCTGAGTTCGAGAGGCGGCCGTCAATATTTTATGTGGCGAGCGAAATCTGACTTCTGAGGAGAACTAAAAAATTACCCATGGTATTTGGGGAGGGATGTTTTACTCTTCTTGTATTTCTCTCGCGTATGAAGTCTCAGTGACGAACTTTTGATCTTTACTTTTGCCCCGAAAAAAGGTTTAAGGGCTGTGAACAGTCTATGGCTCAGTGAAATAGGTTTGATGTTTTTTTGGTGTGTGTATAGGTTGTGTCTGATCATGTAGATCAAATGATCAGTGGAGAAGACTTTGAGCGCACCATCCAGAATTTTGATAGCAACTTTGCGCTTCATTTAATGGATCTACTGGAGAAACTGAGTCATTACTCTACAATCGACTGTGAACACCAGATGCTGAATATTATTGCTCGGCTGGACCACAATGGATATTACACTGCACAACTGGAAAAGAGAGCAGCCGGCCAAGGTATGTAGTCATCACACGTGTATGTGTATCTTACCTTAGTCATCGCCTTCGGACGCGAGCATCGTACAGGTGGCTGAAGAAGGTCGACTCGCTTTCTTGTTCATATCCTTCAAAAACAGCCGCCATTTCGCAACGACACCACTGGTTTCCCTGCAAAATGACGTCTGAGAGCTTTTTTGTATTACCTGCTCATGTAAAAGTACCATTTTTATAGTGGCTAATTCGCTTAAGTGATGTATACGTTTTGTACTCGTAACCAGGGGTACTTACTTTTATACATTGGAAAACCGGAAATTCCGGTTAGAAAATCAAATGTTTCTTGCCATTCCATTTGGGAAGCTTTAGAAAATATGACCTGTGATGTGAGCTGATGAAATTCTCCTACTCTATGTAGTCTGTTCAGTTGATCTAGCTATGCTTTGTAGCGGGTCGTTCTTCCACCACTTCAAATAATTTCAGTGGTTTTATGTTTCTGCGCCATATTTTCACCCGGATGGTTTTTGTAACTGGTAAGCATCTTAGGTAACTTTTTTTAATTATTATTTTAATAGATACCAGTGGACCCCCAACGCCTAAGACCCCGACTAAATCCTCCTCGTCTTTATCAGCTGCAGCCGAGAATCAGATGCGGTCAGCGGCTTCATTAGATCAGCTCCCAGACTCCAGTCGCGCGCTCAAGTATTCACTAAAACCCCCTTCCCTACCTGACATGTCGGACGGTAAAGGAACGAAGAAGTAAACTGGCAGACAAACGGCGTCACTATATCTCAACACGAGCTGCATGTGGAATAGAGACATAAGAGTTCGATTCGAGATACCCAGGGCGGGTGGCGGTATGCAGGAAACCCTGGGGTTTGTTTCTTTGTTTTTTTATCTTGAAACAAGAGTTGATGTAAATAATTCAAGAGAGTTATGGGGGTAGGGCTAAAGTAAAATAAGAAAAAGGGGGAAAGAAATGGCTTACGCTTACCAAAGCAGCAGAGGTGAACGTTATCCACAAGACAAATCACTGCCATATCTTGTACAACTAGGGCTTTATTTTTTTTTTGGCTGCTGCTTTCTTCCACATAAACCTCTCTTAAGTGGACTTCTATCCTAAGGGGACCATTTTTTTCTCCTTCTAAGAGCGTCCGCTTAATTGAAGGTCGACCATAAGAAATAAAAGTAACATGCAGCTATATACACCACTTATTAACCGAGAGTGAGGTCATTACAGGGAAATCTCATAAATTTTGCCCTATTTGAGCAGAAAATTATATTGACCGAGCGATAGCGAGGTTAATACATTAAGGCCGATATCGGGAATCTCCCTGTAATGACCGAACGGACGAGATTAATAAGTTATTTCATTATATGACCGTTGCGTTATGGACCTGAGCCAGCGTCCGATTAAAGCCAACAACTGGTCAGCGGATAACTTAAAAAAATGCTTCATCTCAAGGAGTTGTTCACGTGAGCCCGCGATACGTTTATTTGACACTGGTCAGCGGATACTCCTTTTGACAGTTGTCAATTGACCATATAATGAATGTTCATAAGGATGTCCACTATCAAGTTACAGTCAAACCAGATCAAGCGTTCCCGTCGCTAACGAACTAATCATTTCATTAACGGAAGAATGATTTCTTTCTTTGATTCAATAATCCCTTCATGAAATGAACAATCCAATATTCATATTTAGCCTCGCTTCCATAATCGAGTCGACCTCAGAATTTCGTTTTCTCTTCTCTTTTTTCTAAGGGTCGAGTGCGGGCCAGTTCTGAAGTTCAAACCCAAACAAACTGTTACATGTACGCCATTTTGCTGCCAGTAATCAGTGCAACAGACCTGACCTCTTAGAAAACAGGATGGTCAAACTAAGGTCAGTGTATGTGCGGTGATTGGTGGATTTCGATCCCCGGCCTTTCTCAGTTTCTTTGCGTTTGCGGTCTGTCTATTCTAGCTGTTATTTTGATTCAAGGCAGTGAAAAACCCAATCGTATACGGCAGGAAAAGGGAAGCAAATACAGGTAGATTTTGTTCATAAACCAAATCAACATTTACTTATCGAGTCGAGGTCCAATTTGACTGTTTGATTATTCATTTTATGAATGGATTATTGAATCAACAAACGAAATCATTTTGCCATTAATGAATTCATTAGTTTGATAGCGACGGGAACGCTTGACCTGGTTTGACTGTAAACACAAATTGTATATGCCTTGGACACCTACAATCCCAGACAAAAGTAGTTGGGAAGGTTGTACAACTTAACAGTAGTCCATTTTAATCCTGAACAAAGAGAGTTTTCTCTTTTGCTAAATACCCCCGTCCCCCCTTTTCAATGTTGAGATATAACAGAACAATTACGCGCACAAACATTAACGTTTTGCTCAACATTGGGCCAGGGGAGAGGGAGGAAGGAAAAAAGAAGTACAAAAAAGTAGCCTTCCCAACACTTATGACGATGATTGTAGCTATTGCCCGGCCATTACAAGAAAACAGCCAACCAAAGCGTGCTTACTATTGTAGCCTTACAATACATTTCAGTAACAAGTCTATTAAGACGGGTTCAAGGCTCACTCTCTTACTTTAGTGTAGCCTTCTAACTTAGTTTAAGAAGTCTAAATAACTCTTCATGCAATTGTAGTTGAAGGTGAACAGGGGCACTTATATCTGATACTGACTCCATGAAATCACGGAAATAACACAAAGGAAGGTGACTAATTCTTCTTGAACCTTTGTACCCTATTACTCGTGGGATGCGGTGGAAGTTTTCCTGTGTATGGGTTAAGTCTAAAAGCATGAATCCCTTCGCTTTATTCTAGGTAGCAAAATAGCAAGTGTATCGACTTTGTAAAAACTGTAGTTAACGTAATGGACATGCCTAACAACAACAACAACAACATGCCTATGTTGGAAAGAAAGGGGTGGGAAATCGGTCATTTAGTTTGCTTTATACAACGGATATTTTTGTAGAGCATGTGTGTCTGTCTTTTATATGGAAACAAAAGTGTTGCCTCTAGAAGCTTTAAATAGTAAGGTATCAAATATTTATAACGCGTTTTTAGGAATGTAACTATAAATCAACTTGCATCTGTTTCGGGTTCTTGGTTGGTGAGGTCGTCATATGTTTGTACACGCCAAATTAGCAAACTCCTCCTTTGAAAATGAATAAAACCACAAACTTTACAAATTAGAACTCCTTACTTTGTTCATCCTAATGGTGGAGGACTTACTGTCAACTCAACTGATGGCTGATTGCTGTACTTTCCGTGAAATATATTTGAAGCCCCCATGAGCGGAAACCCTCGAGAAGCACAAAAAGTGTGCGAAACTGAAAAAGTTCAAATGGGGTGTGGCCAAGGCGGCCGTAACTAGAACTTTCCGGTTATGAGAATGTCCGTTAGGGGATCAGTCTGGTACAAAGCCTGTTTTACGTATATTTTTGCCCTCTTTCTTCCAAAGCTAGCCAGGATCTCCATAAGGTCGTAGTAAAATTGGTTCAATATAAATAAGTGAGAATGTTTGGTTGATTTTCGGAATGTCTTCAATAAATGAAAATTAAGGGGACGTTTACTGGTAAAGACTTCAAAATTATGGAAAGTTGGCAAAGACTTTTTTTGAGGGTTTTTTTAAATTAAAATATGAAGGGGTATAATTAGTAGGAAAAAAAACAGATACTCCACCATCAAAACAAGGGGTTAAGTCCTCGCTCACAAATAATACCCCTCCCTCTAATAAGCCCCCCCCCCCCCCCCC